AATGAAAGTGAAGGTGTGAATTTAAGCGCAGTCGGCAGTTCACCCTAGGGGCGAGGGAAAATCCGTGTTAAAAAGCCAACAAAAGATCGGTTGTTTCGATTTGACGGTGTGAAGGCCCTGACCGGTTGACCACAAGAGTCTGATCACCGAGCACACGAGGCGGTGCTGATCAAGCGACTATTGTGACACTGGGGCTCGCAGGGATAGTCGAGGCTTTGTGTGAATGGGACAGAATCGCTTGTGAGACGGTATGTTCACGATGGGAGGAATGGTTAAATATGACGGTCGCCTGCGATTGATGACGGCTGGTTGGAGTTATATTTATCAGACAAAGCCCCGCAATCCAAGAGGGAGGCGTACAAGTACCCACGTACTTAGCGGCGCGAGGCTGGGTGTATAGCAGTGCTATGTCGTCACGGATCTTACTTGCTGCTGAAACCGACAAAAGATACGGCTGGTGAAAATAAGGTGAGGAAACGATTGATAGCTCATAAGAACACAAACATCCTACTCACTATAAAAAACTTATATGAAGACCCAGGGAGACCTGACACGGTAGGTGTGGAGAGGGAGCTATAACCGTTGTTAAGTTCTTCGAAAAGCGGCAAGCGGTGTACGGCAAAAGCTTCCGGGACCACTGCCTTCCAGTAAAACTTCAGGTCCAACAAAACTAGTGGTATCCTGAGAAAAATTGATACGATCGTCCAAGATGCTCCTCACTGCTGCTGCTGCTGTTGACGAAGAAGAGAGAAAGGAGTATGATTCATGGGATGAGACCACCACTCAGATTGTTTTCCAGTGTTTACTTGGGCTTTGCAAATTATGTTACGAGGCCAAATTTGAATCTTAGGTGTACCTTGATACTCAGTTTTAATTACCACGATGACCAGAGGCACCGGAAGAGTTCCTATAACTCATGTGCCTCCACAGACCTCTCAGTGACACATAAAGTCTACTTGTTCAGCAAAAGTAAGTCAGAGATCGATACTGATTTGTATTATTTTGACGAGCTAGGTGTTTCTAGAACAATCAATCATGTTACACTGGAATCTGGATCTGTGAGAAAACTTTCCCCGTTCCATTCTCGTCATTTACAGCATCTAGGCTCCTCAGCACTGACACCATCAAATTTCGTCTTCGTCTCCCTAAGGGGTTGAATTTTGTCCACTATGATGAATGTAATAATATTCAGGTACGCTCCTTCCGTTCAGTCGCTCAAACTTGAATTCAAACCCAATGAGAATTCTATGTCGTCTCACTGGAATGATGCACCTTGGGATTGCTGCGAGGCAGCTGGAGCTGATTTCTCTATAGTCCTCTCGGATACATACCTCGCTGAATGCTCGGACGAAAGGTTTCCTCCATGGGGCTTTTAGGATCGGCAATCTTCCGCTTCGAGGACTGGTAGTTTCTTTCTCACTGAAACACATAAACTATCGCCTAGGGCTGCACACCATACCGTATACGGTAGACGGCTGTATACATATGGTATAAATATGGTATACGGCTAACCCATACACTGTACATGACATTGGTGGTGGACGAAGTGGATGGTATGGTATGGTGAATTATACGGATGTATATGGCAGTGTATGGTACATACGGAATGCAAATCAACTACGAATGACCCAAACGAAGCCTCGCCTTCATGAGCATCAATGTCCTGATAGTCTCAGGCTTGAGACTAGCACGCCGCAGTGAAACCGTGTCACGACCACCAGAGAAAACTCGTTCAACAGCAACAGCAGATCCTACAAAGAAGAGAACTAAGTACAGACACCTGGGACATGGAGTAAGTACTCACCAGGTATTGAAACTTTGTCACCTCGTGCTAATTTGAGCTCGTCTTCAGTTGGAGGTGTCCCACGAGACTTCATGACTAGGTATAACCGATACATAGGTGGAAAATGTGTCTTAAGATGCCCAATCAAACCTAATAGTTATATTGTATTAGCCAAAACATATGCTAGTGATGATACTACTTACCATTCAGACTGCTTTTCATCGCCCACGTGATGGTGAGGACCTTTCGATTACCCAAATAACACTTATAGTGTTTGTCTCCTGCGTCACCAGCCTGACCCGCAGCATTCAGCTGTACAACCTCATAGAAATAATATATCGGGTTCCGCTTGGCAGCCTGATGATATTGTAAGTAATGAACTCTACGGGACAGCAAATGACTATACCTTGGCAGTGAGGACAGCAGGTACGACATCTTCTTCGATGAGACTATCTTGTATAGCTGCTGTAGTGATAGCGGCTGAAACCCCGCTGTTGGTGGGTGCCTGAGTGGTCCGAGTTGACCTTTTGGCCAAGCGCTTGCGCTTGTTGCGCCTGTTTGGGTGTTCCAAAACTGTTTTTGAAGGTAACAAGTGAGCGATCTTGTTTTGCATAAGGTTGAGCACACATAATGTTCTAGAGCCGTATTAAACTTACCTCTTCATTTGTGATTTTGATGACATCACTTTCTTGATCAGAGTCTGATGTACTAGTATCTGACTGCGAGCTTGAAGGACTAGTATAGTCACTCCCTTCATCATCCAAGTCACCCTCAATGGTAAGACCATCGAAGTGATTCTGGGTGGTTTTTGACTTTTTGCTTCTCCGTGGCTTAGACTTCGCAGCAGGAACATCTTGACTACCTTCCAATTCCGCCGTGATACTCTCAGTCAGGTGTGCAGTATTTTTGACACGGTGCCCACGACCGAGGACAGTCTGGAATTGTGGCTCGTTGGCAGGCGAGGACATTGTGGGCAGAAAGGCCAGCTCAGGATACAAAAAACAAGTAGTAACTAGGAAAGTTTCAGTAAATATTGTAACAAACATACTGACAGTGATGCTTCCATTAGTGTAAAGCACATGCAGAAAGCCATCAGACTCGTCGCTGTCATTGTCGTTGGTGGTGCAGGGCATGGTGGTTCAGGGCAAGAAGCTACCGGGTAAACCAGCACCCTGTTCCGACCATATAAGCCGTAAAGGTACCGTCGACGGCTGTATGGAAGACGGTTTGTACGGTGTATGGCTTGGCTGTACACTGTACCTGTCTGCCTCCCTTTGCAGACCCGCCGGTATGGCAACCATATCCGTCGACGGTTGCCGTACAAACCGTCTATTACGGCGACGGTGTGCAGCCCTACTATCGCCCATCGAACACTGAATATTACTACGAATATGGAAAAGGTGATGAAGGGGTCTGACTGTCTTGCAGATATCTGAGAACCTACGACGTCCAACAACTGAATCTGAAGACCAACTGCATTCATGGAGGAATCACAATCTTGCAAATGACAGGCAGAACAAACACATGAACATCCTTGGTAGAGATCCCTAGCTGGTGCTGCATCAATGTTAACATTTGCAATAAGTCTTCATGCAAACATGCCAATTGAAATTGTATACCATGTGTTAAAGCATATGAATGTAATGTAGAATGGAATAGAGTTTCGAAACTGAGGAACAATTCTTTCAATATGACATCATTGTAATGTCATTGATGACAAATGACAACACTGACAGAGATCAGACAGTGATAATGTGATGAACATATGAGATCAAGGGGGGTATCATATAATGAGTCCTCAGTACATGTATCTGACAGTATATATAGGGATCCGTGTCACAAGCAGTGTCCAATCAGAAGAATGAATAGGTATCATCGAAATGTGTCATGTGTTGCATCATAGGCCGAATGCATCATAGGTAAGCATCATGCTTACACCCTTTCCCTCCATCATTGAGACCTTTCTTTCTCCCAGACATCAAGCACCTCACAGTCTTCTATCTCCCTTCGTGGCAGCCATTCATCATCCTCCTCGCCAAAGCTGACCCAATGAACCAGGTACTGTTGACCTCTTCCAACCTTTCATTCCTCCAAGATCCTATCGATGAAGTTCTCCAGTTGACTGTCCTCCATGACCACCAGACCCAGTGTAGAGACTCATGCCTCTCCTTGTGCAATATTGCAGTTTTCACCAAGGAGTATACAGCACGAACTTGTAGCATCACTCTGTATGCTTCCTACAGCCATTCCTACATGAGGCGCAGCTTTCCCGCGCAATGCACAACTCGCACGCGTGCCTTTCCCGTGCTTCACGATGTATATGCGCGTGCGCTTTCCTGCGCTTGAGCGCCCTATAGCGCCAGCCATCCGGAAGCATCCATCCACTGTCCACCAAGTTCCCTAGTGCGTATATTTCCATTTCTCACATTTGCATATCGTTCCATCTTTATTTTTATCATGGACCCTTACTTACATATATCTTTACATACCTTACTTGGTAGCGCTTCGGCTCCGCATGACAGCGCTTAGGCGCCATACTTAAGCGCCAGCAGTACATACTATTACTCACTTACTCTCCCACCAGAATGACAGAGGACTGAACCAGAACAATACCCATTTACTACCCAGCAGAGCATAGTTGAAATCTATTCCTTGGCACCTCGCATATAATATCTCTCAGCTTGCATCTCCCACCTCTTGTCTAGTGCCTAATCATCACTTAAGCAAACTCACTCTTACTCTCTTGTTTCCGCATACACACGTGCACATTCCTGCGCTTCGCGCATTCTCGCGCCTCGCGCGCACCTGCGCTTTCCCGCGCTTTGCATTTGCCAACCAGTAGCGCCTTCGGCACCTACTACTAGATCCTTGCTGCACTCACTTCCCCTTTAGGGTTGAACGCACTTGTCGTCTCAAGTATAGCAGACTAGGCAACACGCGACCTTACAACATTTATAGATACAGTCAGGACCATTGTTCGTGCCTCGCTGTATCGTTGAACCTTCACCGGACATGGCAGTTCTTGCGATAGGAAGAGCGCAGGGTCGTTAGCTTTGAATGCTAGCTGGCTGATGTGGAAGGTCAGGAAGATGTTTGGTGAATTTGGCAGATTGAGTGTATAAGTGGATGTTTCAGGATGTGCATCGATGACTGTGTAGGGACCATTGTATCTTGGCATGAACTTTGCAACCTGGTTGTCTCCCTTCTGGATGTAATCTTGCCGGCGGTTGGCAAGCATAACATGGTCACCCTCTTTGAAGACCACCTGAGGTGATTGCTTTTTGTTCACAGAGTTTGCTTGTGAAGCTTTGCTTGTGATGAGACTGTCTTGGGCTTCCATAAGGTCGATATTCAGCTTGTTCATCAGTGAGTGTGCACGAGTTTCTTCAGGTTCCTGAGCTTGTGTGATGTCCTGTACAAGAGGAGGCAGCATCTGCAGCATTCGTCCCAGCTGTAGCTGGAAGGGCACAACACCAGTACTTGCATTAACTGTACTCATCATATGGAAATGTACCTGAGGTAGAGCGGCCACCCAGTTTCTCTGGTTCCTATTAACGTAGTACCATAGGCACTGCGTCACTGTCTTGTTCGACTGTTCAGATGCGCTGTAGGTATACAACACAGAGTGGGGCTATACAAAGATGGCTCCAAACTGATATCTTTATGTTGTGGTCTTGCACTGCCTAGTCTGCTATACTTGGTGACAAGTGCATTCGACCCAGGGGTCTGCGGTCTGGGAATAGTTTTGGGGGTCAGTGGGTGATGTGAGGTCAATAATCCGAGCATGGGAAACAATGTCCGAAGGTATAATTATGATGTCCGATGCAAAAGCGTTGGGTCCGATGATTTTTGGGTTATTGGGTTTGGGTTTGGTGTATCGGAAACTAATAGTGATGTGATAGCGAGTGTCAGGAAAGCGAGCGGTGTGCGCAATAATAACGATGATGGATATGGATGGTGAAGGAATAATGATATTCGCAATGTCAACTAAGAACTACGAAATATCGGGTTTGACCCCTAAGCGTCGGAGACAATTCTCCTCTACTCGGATAATGATGATGCTATGGGGAGTCCAATATTTATGTAGATACATAGAAATCCAGAACCCTATAGGCGAAAGTAGTAGTGCAATATTTCGGGTCTGATGTCCTATGTAATAAGACATGATGTACTGTGGACTATGGGAATACATGTAATAATGTGGTTGACAATGTTAGCGATGTGAAAACAAGTAACTACGCACCTAGTGGGGCTAGCACAATGAAACTGGACATAGGTAGGATGAGTGCATGCAATATCCAATCAGCCGATGTGAAACCCGATGTCTGATGCCTGATGTCCAATGTCCGATGTTTTCGGGTTTGGTGCGTATTGAGTCGGATATGATAGGGAATGATTTGGGCAATGATTAGCATTCAACATGCATCAAAAAATAGACCTCTATGAGGCCACAAGGACTCCAAGCCCTACAGCGCCATCAGTTTCAGGATGGTAGGCAGAGGACATTTTAACCTTTACACCTGTCAGTTTGTGCAATGCGTGCCAAAATTTGGACATGAAGAGCTTATCGCGGTCAGATATTATCTCCTTCAGTAGGCCGTTCTCACAGAACCAATGGTCGAAGAATAATGTTGCAAAGCCCTCAGCTGAGATATTGTCCTTGCAAGGTATGAGGTGGATATCAGAATTAAGTCTGTCAGTCATGGTTATTAGCATATTATAACCTGAGTCTTCCAGTAGCGGGCCCACGAAGTTGATCACTACTGAATCTCCCCGTGCATCAGGGATAGGTAGAGGATGCAAAGGACCCATGGTACCCTTCATACTAGATTTGTTATGCATACAAGCTATGCATGAGGGGATGTAGGAGTCAATCAAGTTGTGCCTCATGTTGGGCCAGTAGTATGAGTTATGCAGGAGGCCATACATTTTATTGGCGCCAAAGTGTCCCTCCTGCTGCATTGTGAGCGGCATGGAAGAGGTGTTCCCACAGGTTGTCCACACATGGGATGACTAGTCATTCAGCTTGTTAAGAATGTGCTCAAGGGTCGGATCCAAAGGGCTTGGCTTCAGCTTGTGTGCTGTGCCCCTTACCTGAGTATGTGCCCCTAACTTCCAAAGGCTGTTGGATGATGTCTGAAGGTTGTCGGATGAGTCCGGAGTCCGATGTCTGATGTGTGGGAATTCCAGTGGACGTTCGGGAACGAGGGATAAGACTAATCCAGACGATGTCTGAACTAGAAAGGAAACAGCGGAGGACTACCAGAGGTAGAGGTGGAGGTGAGAAGTCTATAGGAGTCGATCCTAAGACTAGCGGAGGACAACGAGAGGAGAAACTCAAGTCAGACAGAGGAGGGAATGAGCAGAGTCTAAGATAATATTCGAACTGAGGAAGTACAAAGATTCTACAGGGTTTATATACTACTGAGGACTTAACGGAGAATCAGTCAGCACAGTCTGAAGCTATGCGAGGCTGTGGATGGAGTGTATAGAAAAGTCAAACACTAGTCTATCGGAAAATAGTAAATGAAGACAGAAATAAGAACATAGGAAAATCAAGGCGGAAATGAAATGAGGTATGGAAAATGAGCATAGTCTAACTGGAGAAGGAATGTACAAAGGGATAAGGCACGGAAGATAGATGCGGGTCAGATCCGGACAATAGATAGAAGTCGGCCGGATCCAGTGTGTGTGAGGAATGATAGCTAGATGAGAAGGGGTGAAAGGGGGAGAAAGGGTGAAGTGGGGTAAAACTCAAATAGACCTCTGGACGTGAGTATAGATTCGGCCCAAGGGGATTGCTACTGAGAACGATTCCTCTAAGTAAAATATGGAGGGGAAACTTAGAAACTGGTAAGAGTAACTGAGAATAGAAGAGCGCGAGCGAGCCGCCGAAGGTGTGATACAATGTGCGACCGAGTGGCCAAAAGTTTGACGGAGCGCGAAGATGCAGAGAAAAGCCAATGGTTTATATGAACGTGCGTCTAGCGGATATGCGAAGGAGATGCAATGCGATGATAAAGGGGGAGGAGAGTTCTGATGATAGATGCGATGAGCGATGTGTGAACGATAGCGCGACCATTAATACAGTGCGCGATGTAGTCGGCCGAAGGTTTTTAGACTTAGAGTCTGAGTGTTGCGTGCAAACGGATGATAATTTCAATAGCGGGAAAAGAAGATACATGAAAAATTCCTAAGTCTAAAGTATATATGGTAGCGCATGTAGCGCTGTTCAGAACCGAGAAGATAATGGTAATACGTATTAAGGGTCTATAACGCAAGTGACGAAACATATGCAATATCACCTTCGGAAATATAATCAGTCAATCAGTCTAATGCGAATGAGATAAAATACACACCAATGGACAAGCGGAGGACATGGATAGGACAGAGGAAGGATGCGTGACGAACCAATGAAAAGCGGATGCGAACCGAAGCGGATGCGTGAGGGGTGGCCGTCGGCTGACGATAGGAAGGATGCGCGCCATGGTAGTGATAGCACGTGCTGCGCTAGGTAGGACCTGAGGGACACTGCAAAAATAGCCTCTACGAGGCTACAAGGACTACAAGTCCTACACTGGAAATCCAGAAATGATGTGTGTGATAGGTCCAGGTCCAGAACACGGGATATGACACAGCTACATAGAAGAGTCCGTGTTCGTCACGCAATAGTCCTGGCAGGGAACCTAGGAGGCTCTCGAGTTTCCAGCACCATTCATCTTCTCCGTACCCCTTCAGAATACACTTCCAAAGTGTAGTGTCAGCCTGTATTGTCAGTATCACACCACAAACATTGTCCATTAAGGTATCAGTCCGCCTAGAGAGCGTGTCTGCTGCACAATTCTCGTCCCCTCTAATGTAATTGATTGTCATGTCGTACTGTGACATGTACTCTGACCAGTGTGCTTGGCATCTCGATAAGTCCCACTGTCGCTTGAAGTTCTGTAGGGTACAATGATCAGTGTATACATTGATGTGCATACCCAGGAGATCCATCCTCCACTTCTTCAATGTGCAAACGATTGCCAAGAGCTCTTTTTTGTGCACAGGGTAGTTATATTGGGCAGAGTTTAGCTGGGTGGAGTCAAAGGCAACAGGCCTTGCGGTTTCCCGCAAGGTTCCCCAAGACAGCATGCTACCTGTTGAAGGTTCAACGATACAGCGAGGCACGAACAATGGTCCTGACTGTATCTATAAATGTTGTAAGGTCACACGTTGCCTAGTCTGCTATACTTGAGACGACAAGTGCGTTCAACCCTAAAGGGGAAGCGAGTGCAGCAAGGATCTAGTAGTAGGTGCCGAAGGCGCTACTGGTTGGCGAATGCGAAGCGCGGGAAAGCGCAGGTGCACGCGAGGCGCGGGAATGTGCGAAGCGCGGGAATGCGTGCGCGTGTATGCGGAAATAAGAGAGAGTAAGAGTGAGTTTGCTTAAGTGATGATTAGACACTAGACAAGAGGTGAGAGATGCAAGCTGAGAGATATTATATGCGAGGTGCCAAGGAATAGATTTCAACTATGCTCTGCTGGGTAGTAAATGGGTATTGTTCTGGTTCAGTTCTTCGTCGTTCTTTGGTGGGTGAGTAAGTTAGTAAGTGTGTGTACTGCTGGCGCTTAAGTATGGCGCCTAAGCGCTGTCATGCGGAGCCGAAGTGCTACCGAGTAAGGTATGTAAGGATATATGTAAGTAAGGGTCCATGATAAAAATAAAGGTGGAACAATATGCAAATGTGAGAAATGGAAATATACGCACTAGGGAACTTGGTAGACAGTGGATGGATGCTTCCGGATGGCTGGCGCTATAGGGCGCTCAAGCGCAGGAAAGCGCACGCGCATATACATCGTGAAGCACGGGAAAGGCACGCGTGCGAGTTGTGCATTGCGCGGGAAAGCTGCGCCTCATGTAGGAATAGCTGTAGGAAGCATACAGAGTGATGCTACAAGTTCGTGCTGTATACTCCTTGGTGAAAACTGCAATATTGCACAAGGAGAGGCATGAGTCTCTACACCGTGGCATAGTCGGACATGTCACACACCAGGAATATTTTGTTGTCCCCTGGACAGTCGTGATCGATCATTGTTAAGCATTCAGGGCTGACAACAATCTTCTTGATAGCTTCAAAAGCCATTTGGTGCTCCTCCAACCAATTTGGAAAGGACTTGTCAGCAGCTTTCATTATAAGTGGTGTCAATACAAGGGTGTGTCTTGTGACATCTGGAAGGTGGTCTGCCAGGTATCTGATGATGCCCAGAAAGCCATGCACAACCATTGCTCGACAAGGCTGAGGCCAATCTAAGATCCATTGAACTTTTGACTTGTCTGCTTCAATTCCTCGAGTCGAAACATGGTGTCCTAAAAATCAATTTCTGTGTTGAAAAGCAAAGTTTTCTTTGGTGAGCAGTAGAGATGTGCCGAATGAAGTGCTGCCAGAACTTCTCATATGTTAGCCTCATGTTCTTCGAGCATTTGTGACCAGATAATAATGATGTCTAAGTAAATGTGGCAGATGCGTTGTGTGTGAGGAATGATAGCTAGATGAGAAGGGGTGAAAGGGGGAGAAAGGGTGAAGTGGGGTAAAACTCAAATAGACCTCTGGACGTGAGTATAGATTCGGCCCAAGGGGATTGCTACTGAGAACGATTCCTCTAAGTCAAATATGGAGGGGAAACTTAGAAACTAGTAAGGGTAACTGAGAATGGAAGAGTGCGCGACGTTGTGCTGATGCAATGCGAGTGCGAGCGAGCTGCCGAAGGTGCGATATGATGCGTGACCAAGCGGCTGAAAGTTTGACTGAGCGTGAAAGTGCGGAGAAAAGCCGACAGTTTATATAAACGCGCCTTTAGCGGAGATGCAAAGGAGATGCGACACAACACTAAAGCGGGAGGAGAGTTTTGACGATAAATGCAATGAGCAATGTGTGAATGTTTTAGTGTGAGTGTTGATACAGTGCGCGCTGTAGTCGGCCGAAGGTTTTTTAGACTTAGAGTCTGAGTGTTGCGTGCAAACAGATGATAATTTTGATAGCGGGAAAAGAAGATACATGAAAAGTCATAAGTCTAAGGTATATATGATAGCGTGCATAGTGCTGTTCGGAACCGAGAAGATAGCGGTAATACATATCAAGGGTCCATAACGCAAGTAACGAAACATAAGCGATATCACTTTCGGAAATATAATCAGTCTAATGCAAATGAGATAAAATACGCACCAATGGACAAGTGGAGGACATGGATAGGACAGAGGAAGGATACATGATGAAACTGACGAAAGGCGGATGCGAACCAAAGCGCACGCGTGAGCCACGGCTGTCGGCCAACGATAGGAAGGATGCGCGCCGTGGTAGTGATAGCGCACGCTGTGCTAGGACCTAAGGGACACTGCAAAAATAGCCTCTATGAGGCTACAAGGACTCCAAGTCCTACAGCATCCAATTAGGTGTCGCAGTGCAGCTGTCATGCGCCTCTGGTGTATGGCAGGCATGTTGCGCACCCCCATCAGCATCACGGTCCACTCATATTTTCCCCAAGGCATGTGTACTGCTAAGTACTTCATGTCATTGGGGCGTACTTGTGTTTGGAAGAAGGCATTAGTCATATCAATTTTTCCAAAGAACTTGCCTTTCACACAGTCCTTCAGTATCTCATCGATGCGTGGTAATGGGTGGTTGTCAGGCACAGTATTGAGGTTGAGTAGCTGAAAATTGTTAACCCATTGAGGTAACACTGTAGGGTCAGCCTTTGGAATGATAAATGCCAACGATGAGAATTCGCTCTCCAAATGTTTCAAACAGCCACTTTCGACGTGTGAATCTAGCAAAACCTTCCATGCAGCGTGATATTTCTTCGGGCAGTCATATGAACATTTCTGCACGATTTGATTAGTGTCCTTCAGTTGAACACGAAAGAGAACATTGCAAGGTAATGAGTCATTGTGAGGAATGTCCACTGGGAAACGATGGCGGAATTCATCCTTCATAGCTTTGTCCTTAGCTGCCAGCAGGGTCTGTTGATGGAGACTGTCAATCTGTGCGTTTATCACTCCAATGACATCAAATTCCCACACTGTCTCGCACTTGTCATCCATGATGGCCTTTAGTTCTGGTAGTACCTTGTTTAGTTCCCTTACCACATTCTTCTTTGCCCAGAACAACTCAGGCCCCCATGATGCTGTTTTGTTGGCAGGCGCTGTAGGAGGCTGTGGGCGAAGCAGGTCGTAGTTAGTATCCTTTACAATGCATGTTCTCAGCTTGTGGTCTATTACAATTTGATTATGCTGTAAAAAGGGTCCTCTGAGTAGCGGAGTACAAAGGTTGAGAGCCACAATTGCATGGACAGTTCATGAAGTATAAGCGTGATCAATAGAAGAACAAGAAATCTTGACGTAATGCGATAGACGGAATGATTGTTTCTGTTTTGGCGACAGGGCAAGGGTCACAGGTAGTGGCGTTGACAGTGTGCGCAGCCATAGACTGAGTTTCCAAGTGAAGTCTTCATCAATCAGAACTAAAGAAGAGCCATGGTCAATAAGTGTGGAGATTTGAACAGGAGACGAAACAGCCGGCCCAGTGACAAGACAATCCCAATGCAAGTGAGGAGTCTGTAAAGGAGCCACACACTCCTCAGAGTCAGTCCCATTGCCCAAGGCTGTGGATGGCATCACAACCGCAATTGTGTGGTTTTCCTCGACATCAATGGCGGCAACCACTCCATTACCCTTCTTAGCCTTCTTGGCTGCGATCATTGTGGCTGTCAGAGTTTTATATGAAGTCCCATCAGGGAAACCCTTTGGGCAAGTGCTCAATGTGTGACCTGCAAACGGTTCACGACATTTGAAGCAACCATTGTTGTCTCGCAGGAGTTGGTTGTCTTTCATTGTCCGTCAGTGCTGGGAGCCAGACAAAGGTTTTGGAGGAAGAGGAGGTCGCAGCTTGTCCTGCTTTTGCATTGAATCGTGTGCCTGCAGTAAATTTCTTCTCTCCGCCAGAACTAGCACGCTTGGCACGCAACACTGTAGAGATACAACAATTGCTGGGCACTACACGAAGTAAGTAGCCAGCAATATAAAAATGTTGTGGTCATGCACAGCCTAGTCTGCTATACTTGCAAGACAAGTGCGTTCGACCCGAGGGGCTTGCTGTATGGTATTAGAATAATCAGTTATATGAAAAGGAAGATAGTCCGAAGCGCGGGAAACAAAGTCCGAAGGTATAATTATGAGTCCAATGTCCAAAAATGTCGGGTCCGATGTTTTCGGGTTAGCAGGTTTGCCTTGGGTTGTGTCAGGCTTGCATTGGGTTTGCATTGGGAATATAGCAAATGTCGGGGATAGCAAATGGCAGGTTACTGTCAGATGTTTTGGATAAAGAAAGGATGATATTGTGGAATCCAACTAAGAACTACGAATATTGGATGACCTCCTCCTACTCGGAGGTAGAAAGGTAAAGTAAATAGGTAGGAGGCATGCAAAATATATAGTGTCTATGTAGAAATTCGGAGTGCTATAGGCGAATGTAGTAGCACTGATTTTTTGGTCCGATGTCCTATGTAATAAGACACGATGGACTGCAGACATGTAATAATGTGTTCTACAATGTTAGCGATGTGAAAATGAATAACTGCGCACCTAGCAGGGATAGATACGACAGGACAAGACATAGGGAGGACAAATGCGTGGGAAAATATCGGGTCCATCGGATTAGCGTCGGGTTTAGTGGATAAACATTGGATTGAGCGGGTTAGCATTGGATTGAGCAGATGAGTGTCGGATAACATCGGGAAGTGATTCATGTGTGATGAGCATTTGACATGCATCGGAAAATAGCTGAACACATGCTCAGCACAAGCTCGAGTGCTACAATGTGCTCTCTACTGCCTCCCGTTGTCTGGTGAGATAGCATAAGCACTTCTCATCAAGCAGCCACACCTTTTCAACCCATTTGCACAGGTTGTTCTCCGAAATCTGCTCAGTGTGGTAGTCCGCCGCTAGTTCTGCATTCATGTGCACTTCTAAGTGATACAAGATGTTAGCGTCTGCAAGGTGCGATGTCGTTCCTCGAAGTAAGGTGTTCTGCCCTTGGACGTCAACTGCCCACTCATGAAAAGGACGTTGACCTTGAGTTGACACCAGCATCTTCCAATGGACAGTGTCCGCCCATCCAGAGGGGAGCCAGTATCTTCTGACTTCAGTCATGTAGTCCTTGAAGGTGAGTGCATCTAGTCGCACTTAGTTGTCACTGTACCAGTTCTGCATCACCAGTTCTTGCATGCCCAATATGACCTTCTTTACCATCTCAATGTCCTTGACTTCCTTGTGCAGGAAGAACTGCATGCAAGCCATCTCCCATGCTCTTAATGCCTCCGGCGTAAGTTCACCTGCCATGAGGAAGGGTGGTTTGCTTACAGAGCATTGCTCAACGCAAGCCAACTTCAAAGATGTTGACATAGGAGGTGTGTCGGTTGTAGAGTCTGTAGAGTTACTAGATCTGCTGGTCGTGCACATGTGAGTTTGCGAAGGTGCAACCACTGTCACATTGATACATCAATATATTGTAACTACCCAGAAAAATCAGGTACTAAATAATAGGCTCATTTACAGTAGTAATGTATCAGAGATCCTCCACTGTCAGGCCCTTCCACAGTATTCCCACATATGATATTTTCGCATTTTCCAGCCCCACAGTGTGGGAATTACCCCACAACACCAAAAACATCACCTATTTTGGGAATCTCCACAATATCAATTATTCCTACACCCTCCTCACACCACACCACAATAGGTCCCTATCCATATATAAGTAGTAGTTTAGTATATATGTATAATGTAATGTAATAGACCGTTTTTTTTGTCTATTTGTGTGCCTGCTCCTCCTCTAGGACCCTTTCAACATAGGGTAGGTTACAAAACAATTTCGCATTTTTGCCCCTTTGATAGGGAGGTGTTCTGGAATGTTCAGAACATGTTTATAAGCATATATGAGTAGATTCCCATCTTTATTTGACCCCCTAAAGTGTCCTACATCAATAGATATAACACATATGCAAGAAAACATAGAATATGTTCCCATTTAATTATTTCTAGGTGAACAGACTTGAAAAAAATGATTCCCAGCATCTATTCAACAATGGGAACAATATATCAGAAGCCCAGGACCATAGGAGAATCCTCTGTTGCATGGTGTGTCCCTTCTCTCCTGGTAGTTTACCCCCTGTGAAAAAATTTTCCTGTAGGACCGGACCTAAATTAAGGTGAGGGATATATTTCTATGTATATTTGGAGTAGATCTATCATATAGCCAGCCCAGAAAACCCACAGGATCCTTCTACAGGAACAAAATAATAGAAAATTGCATTTTTGACACTTTTGATGGTTTTCAGTATCTTACTCTTGCATAAATAATGCAACCTATTCATATATTATTAGCATAGCATATATACTTGATTTTTATGACAAGGATCAGCTCAAAATAGGGTGCACATGTGATATCTGATGTACAGGGAATATTTCTACTGATAAGAAGCCTACATAGTAATCAAGCCTGTGATAAGTGATCAAAGACCTAGGATACCTCTCATATATATCCCTGATGATATATTTAAAGTTTTAGAAAGATCCATGAAGAACTGAGTGAATGGCAAGTAAAATGACATATGTATGAAAAATGACAATTGACATATTTTCACACAAAGTTATATTTATATATAGTACAGCTCAAATATTTTATTAAAAATGTGTAGGATACATGGTAGACTGCTGAAGGAACCTATATTACATATTGCCCTGAGGTTAGAGGGTGGTGGAAGGAATGTGGTGTATATCTAAGTTGACCCAGCATTAAAGTCCTACCACTGCCCAACTGACCATTTTCGATGTTTTGGGTCTTTGAACTTTCCCACACTCAATTTCATATCTATTTCACTTCCTCAGCACTCAATTTTTGTTGGATTGTTTTGTGAATTCAGATATATGATAATGAATATATTTTAAATCTACTCCAGGTGTCTGATTATTAAATTTTGATGTTTTAAAAGTATGGGCCCCTTATCAGTAGAAATAGCAAGCATTCACACTAGCTCAACACTCTGGCCTATTTTGAGCTGATCCTTGTCATAAAAATCAAGTATATATGCTATGCTAATAATATATGAATAGGTTGCATTATTTATGCAAGAGTAAGATACTGAAAACCATCAAAAGTGTCAAAAATGCAATTTTCTATTATTTTGTTCCTGTAGAAGGATCCTGTGGGTTTTCTGGGCTGGCTATATGATAGATCTACTCCAAATATACATAGAAATATATCCCTCACCTTAATTTAGGTCCGGTCCTACAGGAAAATTTTTTCACAGGGGGTAAACTACCAGGAGAGAAGGGACACACCATGCAACAGAGGATTCTCCTATGGTCCTGGGCTTCTGATATATTGTTCCCATTGTTGAATAGATGCTGGGAATCATTTTTTTCAAGTCTGTTCACCTAGAAATAATTAAATGGGAACATATTCTATGTTTTCTTGCATATGTGTTATATCTATTGATGTAGGACACTTTAGGGGGTCAAATAAAGATGGGAATCTACTCATATATGCTTATAAACATGTTCTGAACATTCCAGAACACCTCCCTATCAAAGGGGCAAAAATGCGAAATTGTTTTGTAACCTACCCTATGTTGAAAGGGTCCTAGAGGAGGAGCAGGCACACAAATAGACAAAAAAAACGGTCTATTACATTACATTATACATATATATACTAAACTACTACTTATATATGGATAGGGACCTATTGTGGTGTGGTGTGAGGAGGGTGTAGGAATAATTGATATTGTGGAGATTCCCAAAATAGGTGATGTTTTTGGTGTTGTGGGGTAATTCCCACACTGTGGGGCTGGAAAATGCGAAAATATCATATGTGGGAATACTGTGGAAGGGCCTGACAGTGGAGGATCTCTGATACATCACCACTGTAAATGAGCCTATTATTTAGTACCTGATTTTTCTGGGTAGTTACAAGGACTGATACATCATTTCTACTGCTACTGGTGGCAACTGAGGTATTTAACAAGCTCAGTGAGGACAGTGTGGAGAGTGTGTTCGCTGTTGGTTCAGTTCGGGGCAAGCTATTGACAGTTGAGCTCAGTTGTTTAGCTTTGCTGCGTATCGTGGCCAACAGTGGTATAGAGGCACAGGAGCATCAATAAGACAGCTTGTCTGGCTATGGGTAGTGATGGGTTGACCGAATGAGGTCAATTCCCAGCAGTAGAGTTCCGGTTTAAGACAGTACAATCAGTTACAGCAAGGATTCTTAACAGTTACAGAGTTACGTTCACTGAACGTTAAAAAAAGTGTAATGTCATCAATGACAAATGACAACACTGACAAAGATCAGATGGTGATAATGTGGATGAACATATGAGATCAAGGGGGGTATCGTATGATGAGTCCTCAGTACATGTATCTGATGGTATATATAGGGATCCGTGTCACAAGCAGTGTCTAATCAGAAGAGTGAATAGGTATTGTCGAAATGCATCATGTGTTGCATCATAGGCCGAATGTGTCATAGGTAAGTGTCATGCTTACAATCATCACCTGAAGACGATACACATCGATGGGACAGCAAACACATCAGATCGGCATGGTTCATGCGAGTGAGTGAAGTTTGTTCTCCCACAGCACAGACAATATTTTTAAGAGATGCAACTACACCAGCATTAATGCTCTGGGTGTAGTACTGGTCAGTGGTCAAGCGTGCATGAACCACTGTGAGAACTTATAGCCATTTGCATGGCAATGAATTTCCAAAACACAATGCCACGACAAATCGCAAAAAAAACATGACCCTACAAACCCACTACCTAAAGGTAGCAGGAATTTGACACAGCATGGTCAGCTTCAGGGAAGCATATTTTCGACAGGAAGAATGATTGATTTTGTGCATTGTACATCTACAGTCATGTGTTTTTGCGAGTTATGGCAAGTGTCTTTCTGAGTCTTTCCAATGTGGCCAGTGCTTGTTGTTTTGTTTTGATTTTATCTGAGCTACTCAATCAGTATGTATTGTGTAGTTTTTCTGCCCTTAAAACCATTCATGCGCTTGAGTGTCATGCATCAGACAAACAGAGGGAGACTGTGCACCCTTAGACAGCCCTGCACAGAGCAACAGTGTCCACAGAAGGGGTTCTCTCTATACTATGACACTGTATAGAGTAGATAGATAGCTTGTACAGAGTATACAGGAGCTTATACAGAGTGCATATTAGGCTAGACAGGATGTTGCAGAGGTAACACAGAAAGGCTACAGAGCCAAGACACTGTGGGTACGATGACTGAATAACTTGATTCTGTGGGTAGGGGTCTGCCAGCACCTGATCGAAGTTTGACTGGGCTGACAGGGAGATCTCACCAACATAGTCGGCAACATCGGCATGCGAAGGGATGGACCATTTTTGGTCTCACGTGATGCCAAAATGGTCGTGCACATGAAGACCATTTGCAAGACCAATCGTAAGTCACGTGACATTGTTGAAAAATCAAAAGGGAAGGAGAAACACGCGGGCTATTTGTGTGGAGGGGAGGAAAGGAAGGAAGGGGAAGAGCATGCAAGATGCGAGGGAGGTGGCTTGAATAAACAAGAATACTGAAACGTAAATATACAAAAGAGGCCATTAGTTGTAGAATGTGCAAGTAGCTAAAGAAAGTCAAAGACAAGCCACGAGTGTATGCATGAAACAGTTGAAAACAGAGATACTACTAGGCCCAGTGCTCCTGGAGGTACTCGACGCGAAGGTGCTTGATGCAATTATGCTCTGTCAATAGCGCATCTGGCATTGTTGCATCAATCTCGAGCTCCTCATACAACTTGAACAGCACTGTCCCTGATTCAAGTGTGGTCGTCCTGTCAAGTAGCATCATGGCAAATGCTTCCTGCTCGAGTGCAGGACTTTCACCCGACAGCTGGAGGAATACTTGCTTGTAGATTTGCTTGACCGTTTCGAGGAAAGCACACAGATGGAAGCACTTGCCATCTGAGAAGATGCCTGGTGGCTGTGGCCAAGGTGGAGGTGGCTCAGTTTGGGACACCTGCTTGGCACTGTCTGCACAAAAGCCCTGTCAATGATTGTACCCTGAGTTCTCTGGACCAGGGTACATATTGGTCTTGCAGTGGGAGCATGTATGGGCCTTGCGAATCTGAATTAAAGAGAGAGTGAACAATGAGTTTTAAAGACTCAGACTTGGACTCACCTTCTTCCCGGACTCAGTCTTGATGAGCTCAATGACATGACAATGTCTTCTCCAGAAGGTTTCTGAGCCAGAACAAGCTATATATATGTAGTTAGTGGGTGAAAGAGTGCAAGCAAGGTGGTGCCCGAGTGCCAGACTCACACTTGAAGTCGTTCTTCACCACACGATTCATCACAATCACTTCAACCTCGCCAAGCTTTCGGAGAAGTGCCTGGGGGTTCTTTCTCACTGTTTGAAGCCCGTTAGCATAGTTCTTCTCCTCCAGGCAGCTGTTGTAAGTCTCTGTAACTACAGCCCACTGTTTGGGCGTCATCTTGAAAGAAATCCATGTGAATTCTGCCCTCATGTCCATGAACAAATGGAACTCAATGTTGGAGGAGATTTTCATGGCGCGGGCATCAATGCTCATTGTGATAGTGAAGAAGTGCTGGGAACAGGACATCCCTGGAGGCCTCAGAATGGCTGCGAGGGTGGTGCTGTTGATGGTGGTGGCAACAGGACCGTTGACTGTCGTGGCTGGGGGAGTGGAATTGCCAGGTGTGACCTCGGGAAGTTGACAATGTGAGGGAGCCTTACAGTATGGCAGCCGGCTTCTTAGTTTGAGATAGTGGTCCAGTGTGGCAGATAAAATCCTCTGCAAATGGCAGAATCAGTAAATACTAAAGGCATGAATTGAAGAAGAATGGGAGGAAAGTGAAGTTTTTCATATGAGGCGGCAGATTTTTCATAAGATGGGTCGTTAGTGGAGGAAGGTAAGATGGGAGGGAAGAAGGTAAGATGGGAGGTAAGTGAAGTTTTTCATACGAGGCGGTGAATTTTTCATAAGATGAGTCATTAGTTGAAGAGGGGAAGATGGGAGGGAAGTGAAGTTTTTCATATGAGGCGGTGAATTTTTCGTAAGATGAGTCGTTAGTTGAAGAGGGGAAGAAGGGAGGGAAGTGAAGTTTTTCATATGAGGCAGCAAATTTTTAGTAAGATGGGATGGGAGGAAGGTGAAGTCTTACCTGATCTGTTGGCGATGCAGAAACTTCTGGAGCATGAGGACCAGTGGTGGTCAAATGCTGCACAATTTTGTGTGGCCGCTTGCATGCTACAGCCCTTGGTTGGCCAGAATCTTCAGGCTCACTTTCAGAGACAACAATGATGTCATATGCCTTGCGCTTCTTGGACTTGGCCTTACTGGCATCAGAAACTTCTGCCATGGGCATTGTGGCCATTGTGGGTGGCCGTGTTGGTGCCTGAGGTTGATAAAGAAGCTGTGGGTCAATGTTAAGTTCTGCAAGCATTTCAGACCTCGCAGACTGTAGTGCGAGGTCAACTTCATCACCATCACTGCTTGGTGCCTCAAGCAACTTCGGGCCAGTCATATTGAGCTCAACCGGTGGCTCCAAGTCTTCAGTCTTGATGTCCAGTAGCCCACCAAAGGTGGTAGCAAAACTCGATGTGACAAGTCCAAAGTGTTCACCCGATGGGATATCCTTGAGCTCTGGCAGGTAGGATGTGGTGGTGATGGCCTTTTCTTCAAGTCGAAAATGGTTGAACAGCTTTGCGATTCTGTCAATGAGGTGAATGTGATGTGAGCCGTGAGTTGATGAGATGAAGTCTGATTTTTGCGCCCTTGAAAAGGCAACACGAATGTTTCATCAAAGAACGAAGTCGTGGCAAAGGCCTGTGAAGGTCACAATTCCACTGGTATGAACACACTGAGTGAGTTCCAGCCTTTGTGGGACCCCTCCACACGACTTCCAATGGTTTGTATGTCCTGCCACTGACGTTCAAGGCAACCTTTCCACACATGCTTTAGCTGTTCTTCATGAACCTGAAATTGACATTAGCTGTAGTTTGAAAAGAGGCATTGCCAGGATGAACACTCACTTTACGTGCCCCTGCTGACCATACACTACCTTCATGTGCCCATTTCTCAAACATGGAGGTGAGTCTTACCTCCTGCTCATTCCAGTCCCAGTACATTGTAGGATTCCCACCCTCAGTGTGTGTCTTCAGGATACAGGCAGAGATCTCTGCAACTACCTCGTTTTGGTGAGGATTCTTGGAGGGATTAAGGATTGCAGTCGTGTATCTTGCTCTTGAGAATTAGCTTGTAGATTTAGAAAGGGAAAAACAGTACTTGCCTCATAATGAAATGCCAGACATCAAGTTTTATGGTAGCATCGGGGAAAACTGCATTAAATGCATTGCGGACATGACAGCAGTTGTCAGCAATGAATATTTCAGGTGGAGGGACATCAAGCACATTGCACCGTGTCTTGAGGCCTTCGAGAACCTCGCTTATCTTGGCGTTTGACTGGCCATGACAGAAGCACTATGTAATTGACCATCAGTTGAACTTAAAGTTGGGTTGGTGCAAAATGACTTACCCAGCCCACAATCTCACTCCTCTCATTCATCAGACTTATAATTTCTCCCTTCAGGACCTTTGACTTCTGTCTCTCTCGGCTTGTCACAGTTGCTTTTGTAGCAGCACGAAATGTATTGTCGAAGGAGATGCTGATGCCTGTCCATTCGTTTTAGAGTAAGGTTAGTGGATGCCGATGTCAAGTGTGAAGCAGAGCGTCTCACCTGAAAGTGTGCAAATGTATTCCTCTGATTCTCTTTCGCATGTTGCTGACACAAATTCGTGGAAGACCTTGCTGACGATCTCATTCGAAATAGGCTTATCATTGTATTTATTTATATTGTAAGGATCTGAGAAGACTTGAAGTGCGTTTGGACTGAAAAACTCCATCCCATTTTGTGTCATTTGACGGGATTTCCATGCTTGAAGGTAAGCTAGCTTTCGTCTGTTGTACTCAAGTAGATAAAATTCTAAGTACTATGTTAGACCAGTGTGCAAGATACCAGGTGGCACCACTCACGCTGGATGTTCTCTGCAAGAGTTCCTGCCATAGAAGACAGGCATAGCTCAATCAATAGATCAAACAACTTGCGTGTTACAGCGCATCTGTAAAAGAATATTGGTATGTCGCCTCCAGACAATGTGACTCAGCGACTAAACAACAGGAATACAAAAACTCATTGAGCTCACCTAGAATAGACCAGTGGGACCATCTGCACCAGAAATTGGGGTTTGTCATTGTAAAGCAATGCCCTTTGAGGTTTGTCTTTGGATTGCATCTGTTGGAGTCCGCCTCGCTACGCTCATGTTCAGGCTCTCCTTTCCTACTGGTCGGATCACTTCAACAATTCTCACATTGCAGCTGTGTACCTATTGCTGCTTCATCAAGCATCAAACCATGCACGTCCCGAGGACCTGTCCCAGTTCACCCATCCCACTGAATGTTGTCTGAACAGTTGCACCATGGACATCTTGCAAGTTTGTGATAGTAAAATGGATGAATAACGTGAAGTGGCTTTAAGTACGAAATCTCTGGGTTGACTGCAGGCTCAGACTGATTTCATTTTCGAGGATATAGGTATGATGGTGGCATGAAGCGAGGGCCAAGGATAGGCACCTTGTGGTCCAGGCATGGTTGGGTGAGTGCCTTACTTGACCGCACACGTGTCTTATCCGAGATATAGTTCACATATTCCACGACTTCAGCCTCCCATTCATATTGGCAGCATGGTCGTGAGTTGGTCATGCGGTTAGCATGACCTGTCCATAACTCAATGCATTTTTTGACCTGTGTTGGTAGCTAGGTCAGTTCCTCCTTGTCTTACCAGACGGTTTTCAACTCATGCTTACTGCACTTTTCCAGTTTGCTTCGAATCTCTTCTGTGAGTCTTTCGGCTCCAATGCTGACAGTAGTTTTCACACTATGTCTGGTTCATACACGGACATCACTTGTTCCGTGCTCTGAGGGAAACTAGAAGGTGGCAGCAGGAGGAATAGAGTGAAGGGCAGGCAGAGTGGCAATTAGGGGTCCACTACTGGTGAACTTTGTTCTTTGACCTTGACGACTTTGACACACGCTAGTATCTTGTACCCACTGAATTATATTACTATTTGTCACAAGTTGCTGTTGCAATAAATTCCTTATCAATCCTGGTCGGTGGGAACAAACAAATTGAATTCAAACTAGTCACAATACTAATTGTACCACTTAGTACCACATAGCTAATACTCAATGTCACCTCTACATCACCACAACGTCTCTTCTTCCTCCAAGGCTCCCGGGGGACAAGCTACCAAAGAGGAAAATACAGAGAGAGCAGTGAAGCTACTCACCAGCAGCAGCTCCAAGTCAGACACCAAACCTGTCAATGTCCATGTGGACTATCAACTTCATGCTCAGGATGTTGTGTGCTTTGCACAGTTTGGATATGACGAGCACGTCAAGCAACTTGCCACATGCTTGGGCTTTCATCTGACAATAATTCACAATGTGTACAAACATGTCAGCAGCTTCAAATGGACAGAGAAAGTAATAAAGGCCATGCGTACCGCTGCCTTGGAGTGTGCCAAAGGAGAGATCGAAGAAGAGTTGGATATGGAGGACCTGTATGCAGGAAAATGAGTTTGAGGGGATGAGCGATGAAATGAACATAAAACATACCTGATTCACTGTATGTATTCAATCTTGGTAGTGTTACCACCTATTATTCCCACATATCCCAGTTAGTAAAGTGGTACCACGGTTATCACAGAACCACTTAATTAAGCCTGAAGGCATTCCTATGCAGCACCGGTGGTGCACACTGGCAGGTTCTATAGAGTTGTACTTAGCTTTTCTACCTTATGTATGTAGTATATAGCACCAGCAGTTTATTTAATAACATGGCTCAATTTGGCAACTCTGTCACCTCACATAAGCAGCGCAGTGCTGCCACCCTTGTGCTCATCGTCTACCATGATGAGCTCATACATTGTCCCCTTTTCCACCAGTTTTTTTCTCATTTCTTCTACTCTATGGTATAACTATGTCTTAGAATAACAACCGAGGTATTGTTGTCTAACTTGCTTGCAATCAGGCAATAAATCAACATAGTATGTGGGAAACCTCCTCAATGCCCTTCTTATCATCAACAATATCTGCAGCTTCACCATTGCCCTTGAACATGCGAACCTGCCACTCTGTAGGTGGTGTCTCTAGCAAGTGTGTTGTCCATGTTGGCCCCAAACCAAGGACACTCCGTGTTGGAGCCTTGCATCAACGGCAAGAAGATGCACGCGAGCTTCATGCCTCACTCCTCAAGAGTACAATTCTTTCTTCTTGTTGGAGTTGTACTTATGATCTTCCAGAGCTTCCTTTGAGAGAATGCGAGTGGCTACTGGGTGCTGAGAGCAATCAGAGCAGACCAGGCTCTTCATCCGCAACACCATCCGATACCTTTGACTTTTTGGCCTATGACATGGACATAGATGCTATGCTGCCTCCTCCTGGTGAAGAGGGTTTCACTGTCAGTCATGCAGGAGATGAAGTCACCCTTTATAAAGAACTAGAGCAAATTACAATGGCTCAACCAAGGTATGTTCTTACTCATTAGTTTGTGGGCAATGCACTCACTCAGAAACCATCAACAGAAGGGTAGATACCCGTGATCACTCTGAACGCATTGCATGCCAAGTTGCAGACTGGGCTTCTCAATACAACGACCTAACAGATGCTCTTTTGAGGTATAAGGCAGATTATGAACACCCTCCTCTCTCGGACAATGCATCAGAAAACTTTTCAATCAAGGTTGTAGATATATTCGGTATGTTGCTTTCTATAGTACAGTGTTTGCATTCTTAACCTTAACCTGCTTGTAGAGCACCATGTGCGCACTTTCAGAAGTGTTTCACCATTTTTAAATGTGTCCCTACTCCACTATGGCTGCATAGGTAGCTCGCCTATTCACCCAACAACTGCTATAACTATCCGCACTCTTGATGTATACCAGCAAAGTCACCGAGTCTGCCCACGATTCAGTATCCAAGCTCAAGCGAAAATGCTGTGTGCCCTTCATCATGTAAGTACATCTCATGTCATTCGCTTCTAGTACTTGTACTTACATACAATTAGGTTCATTTTCACCGCCACCTAGCCGAACAGCTTTGTGTGGCATATGACATTTATCTTGAACTCAATCGCCGTATAAACTCCCACCTGGATAAATTCCTGGGTCATGACATGGACAATTGGCACATTCTTAACTCATGCCCAGCATGCCAATACAGCCTCATAGATGAGCTGCCTCTTAAGTTTTCTTTTCTCTGTGCATGTGATGGCAACAACTCTGCTAAACTCATTGATCCCGCAATACGCAGTGGTGAGGAACGTCCAGACCCTCACTCAGGGATGTCATCAATCTGGCTGACCGAGTCCTATGTCAACCAATTCAAAGACAAAGTTTGATCAGCTCATGCTCATCAAGGGCAGCAACGGCCTGCTTCCAGTGACCCTGATGATCTGTGGATTGGCGAGCCTGACTCAAATGACTCTGCAGAGCCATACAGTGTCTGCATGGACCATTGGCGCAATGCAGCTCCTGAGTCTTGGAAAAAAATGTTTGCTATCTTCAAGCAGTCCAGCATTTTTGTCACCATCTGTCGGCACATATTTTTGCTTATGATATGTGACATGGTCCGAAGTGGTAAACTGTACATATTTCAATTCGTGCTCTTTCTATATATAACACTTACTTGTTGTCAGGATGAAATACCCAATTGCTAGTGTGAAGAAGCTGATGGATGTTTTTGGCAGCAACATCCTTTTCGGTTATGACATCAAATGTGCCTTCAAGAAGATCCTCCTTTGCAGCTTGCTTGCAGATGACATGAAGAGACTCAACCTGCAGGGCATTGTGCCCACTTTTCACGGGCATGTGCACAATCATCTTTGCCAACTCGAGCATCATTCAAAGCACAAAGTTGGTGCTGGAAAAGAAGACTTTGAGACATGTGAACGTGTTTTCTCTGAGTCAAATGCACTTGCTTGCGAGATTCGAAACACCACTAACTTCCACCGCCATCAAGCCTTGGATGAACACTTCTCTTTCGCTGACATGGACAGGTATGCTGCGCTATGTAAGTCCCTGTTCGTTTCTTCAACTCTAGGTTAACAATTCACATAGCCGACTTCATCTATAACAATTACGTCCAAGCACTGACATCAATATCAACCACGGGCATTTTTCTCATGAACTTCACTGTGTCAAACCCTACCACTGACATTAATTTAAGCTGATCTGGATGACGAGCGTCTTTTTTTACAATGGCTCACACGCAAGAAGGATGAATCTACCATCGAAGTTGATTACGTCAAGGCATTGAATGATTATGATGAGGCACAGTTAGTATTTGTCTTTTGGCTATGCTGGTACCAACATTACACTATATTAGGCTTGCATATGAATCAGCACAAGCGGAGTTTGCGAAGCTCAACTTAGGACCGAATTATTCTTTTGTGGATGTTGGGAATATTTGACACTGTCACACCCATGCCACGGTCAAACATGATCAGAAGCTGGAGGTAGTCATTGATTACAAACATCAGATTGCACTATCCTCAAGATGGGACGTAAACCACCCTGAGCACATCAAAGCACAGTCGCTCATTACTCATCATCTTTTCCACAAGGCAGTGGATGACATTAAATGTCTCGTCATCATGTGACTGTTGGAGTTGACAAAGTTACAAATGGGTGGTCTAGGTAGAACTCGAATGCCTTTTGAAATGTAGTCTTTAACACTCGTCCTCACAGGTTATAAACTTCACACCCAGATCTCCAATGCACTGAAAACTTGTGCCAATGTGATTCAAAATGCGCTCAATCACTACAATAAATATGTGGCTCAGCTTAACCCTCCTCGCCCTGCGTTGCAATGGGAACAAATAGTCGAGTACTCATTTCTTGCCAAGTTTGACTTACTACGTGAAACCGATGGCAAGATGCAGTCCAAGCACTGGGCAAACCCATCTTACCGTCATGCTTCCACCCAATTCATTGAGCAGCACTGCGCTAACAAAGAAATACACAGGCTCAATGTCGAAGTTGGACAATTGCTCACGAAAATACAGTGTAGGACTTGGAGTCCTTGCAGCCTTGTAGAGGCTATTTTGTGGTATCCCTCAGCACCCTATTACTTTCCTACATGAAGCGCAGCTTTCCTGCGAGTCACGCATAGCGGCCGCTACTTTCCCGCAATGACTGCAATGTTCCCCCCCGCATGCACAGCCGCGCTTAGCCGCCACTTTTCTCGTGCTTCATCGGCCAATGTTCCACACCCATCCATAGTCCAAAGCCAACCCAATGGTACATTATTTCATGATTATATTAACATATCAGACCATTTTCGCATCGCACCACCTTTATTTACATATAGCTTTACATAACTAACTCGGTAGCACATCGGCTCGGTTCCACGTGACAGCGCTTAGCGCTATACTTAAGCACTAGCAGTACATACCATTCAGTAGCTTGTTTTTCTGGACATTCCAGTAGTAAACTCCCATTAGCCTACAGTTGGTAGCCATTGACAATCAGTATCCATTTACCGCTTGCATCATATCCATTATTGCCTCGCTCTACATCTATTTCTATTGTCCTTCGTCTCTGTTATCATCCAAACCCCTCATGCATCAGCTGCTTCACAGCCACATCTTTCCCGTGCCTTCGGCCGCCACTACATTCCCGTGCTACGCGCGCGCACCCGACACTTTCCCGCGCTTCGCATTGGCCAACAAGCGGCACCTTCTGCATCCATTTCTAGACCTTTGCTGCACTAGCTTCCCCTTTAGGGTCGAACGCACTTGTCCCACAAGTATAGCAGATAGGCAGTGCATGACCTACAACATAAAGATATCAGTTTGGAGCCTATAGCACCACTCTGAGTTGTAAACACACACTGGGATGATGGGATTGATTACCCACAAGCAATTGCATGGCTGCAGTCTGATAATTCACCCCTTGCAGTTGAACTGCAGCGACGCTGGATGCATCTGCGGTCAGTAAATACCCATCACCTGTGGCGCATCGAGCAGATTATGGAGCTACCAGGGTATAATGGGCCAATGGGACCCAGTACTCGCAAAGGTCGGACTGAGGTAGTGTCACCGCCTCCTCCACATCAATTACCGCAAGATCAGGATGACATAGGTGAAGGTGATGCAGATGAGGAAGCATTCAGGCAGTTGGAAGATGTGTATACTTACTTCGAGGGACTTGATCACCATCGCGTGGACTTAGAATTAGTGTAATTGTTGGTAGCGTGAATGTATCTCTTGTATCTCATCCAATGCAGGTTTACTATGAGTATCTGGTGTAAATGAGCTTGAATGACGACTAGCGTACAATGTACTTGGTATTGCCAACTGAATAACCAAATTGAAGTATGTTGATGCACACCGTTGTGATGCTGTTGAGTGCATACTTAATCTATAACTGAGTTGCATGGACTTAATTGTAACTAGTGTATGATGTACCGGTAATGCAGACTGAATATCTAAATTGAAGTATGACCGGTAAGGTATTACTGGTACATCATACACTAGTTACAATCAAGTCCATGCAACTCAGTTATAGATTAAGTATGCGCTCAACAGCATCACAATGGCGTGCATCAACATACTTTTGTGATGCTGTCGAGTGCACGCATGATAATCGATAACTCAGGTGAAGTTGCATGGACTCAATTGTACATAATACAATTGTGCGTGTTTCAGCTCATGTATGACTTTGCCAACTTTGTAACAACCTTGCTCCCGCCATTATCCACTTCACCATGGCACATCCCACAGATTGGAAATCCTCTCTGTTTTACAGACCTCCCACTGTGGATGGCATGAAAGAACTCAACACTCTAATTGCTTGCCCTCAAGAGCTTACCAGGATCACTGGATCAGAACCTCGTTGGACATCTGCCCTCTTATCTTTGCAAGCACATGGATCCCACAATGACGGCGGGCACCTGGAGACCAACGATGGCTTTCACACTTTTACTGACTTGCATTATAGGACTGGGTTTTCCAAAGTCCAGAAAGCTACTCAGGACAACAGATTGAATAATTGGGGTTCTCGTATCACTCACACCGACAACATCTTAAACTGTATCTTTGATCTTGTGCATGTTACGTGAACTAGTATAGTTCTTCTTGACACAAGTGCAAATGTGTCTGGTGGGATGTTGAGGGTGTCTTACAAGTTGATCGAAGGTCAACAGGTCTCTCCATCGATGTCGGTAAGGTCCTCGGACCTCGTCGAGATGAAGGGCTAGCGAGAATATGGCTAAGGCATGGGGAGTGACTTAGAAGTGCAATCAGAGGTTCAAAGAAGCGAGTTGATTAGACAAGCTGGTTCAAGGTGAACCTGGTTCTGGGATACAACCTAGTAGATTAAAGTAAAGAACTAATACAATAATCTGTCTACTTATATATGTCTGTACATAAGGGTTCAAGCTCAGTTCGTATCTGGGGATCTATGCGAGTCATGGTGAGTCAGAGATAACAGTACATGAGGTCGACCATGAGGATCAGATAAGATACATGAGGCTTAACCTCTAATCAAGCATGAGGCGCCTTGAGGCACTCCGGATCTACATGAGGGGGCATGAGGCAACATGCACTGGTCTAGGTGTTCATGAGGAGTACAGCCTCTGGGGATCAGGTACAAGGCCTTCTAGGCCAGGGGTGGTGTCACAGCGGTCCAGACCACTGTCATTTTAAGTTCTGGCAGTGTGCCGCCGCATTGGGAGTCTGGCAGAGCGGGGACTCCTGTAGATGTTACGGTAGACTGTAACAGTGCGTTTTCTTGTCTTTGTATCATTCAATCTACTAACTATATGGTTACTAGTGCACTATTCTCGACAGGTTAACGGGTGGCTCAACTATCGTATTGCACCATCCAGGTGCAACATCACCGAACGCAGATGTTGTACCAGAATCCCTCAAAGCTGAGGTGTACATCAACCCTAGGGTCCTTGCCAAGCATCAAGAGCTCCACCCAGTACTCGCACAGATTACACAGACCTTCATCGCTGACTATGCGACTCCATTGGCACATGCCTTTGCTGTGACTCGCAGTCGCAAGTGGGGTAAATCAAACACTCAACAAACACCTTTGAAAGGCAAAGCGACTCCTTCCAAGGGCAAGGAAAAGATTGAAACCATACTGCCTCTAGTTCCCTCACCAGTATCTCCAAACTCTGCGCACTTTGTCTTTCATGGACATCCAGCTGGTTCTTTAGAAATTCTCCTCAACTCATCCTCCCATTTCTTATCTTATGCACCTTCATATGATGGCAATGTTATATGGGAGCCGACTCAGATACAAATCAGGCATGCCAGCACTGATTACAACAACAGTGGGGGCAGTGCTAGTGTGCCATCTAGTTCGCATCCTTCCAGCTCACATCCTTCCAGCTCGTGTCCTTCCAGCTTGCGTCCTTCCAGCTTGCATCCTTCCAGCTTGCATCCTTCCAGCTCACATCCTTCCAGTTTACCTCCTTCCATTTCACGTCCTTCTCGTTCGTTTTATGCCAAACCAAGTAGTGCAGGAACTGTGAGCGCAAATATGATGCATAAGGTAAATTAACTATTATATCCAAGTAGAGTGCCAATCTAACTTACCTGCAGGAGACCCAAAAACTTGTGTTACATGTCAACAAACCTGCCAAGTCCCTGCATGCCCCAGTCACATTCTATGAGACTTCAGACAGTGACGACGACGATGTTTTCAACTCTCCACAATGATATCCCCCTGTAACCCCTACATCAACTCGTTCAGTGAAGAGGGCTGTATCATTTGTGCCTCCTCCCTCACTCGTCACCTACTCCATATCTGAACCACAAACCTCTCGTGTATCAACACTTGTCCCATTTGGGAAGAAGACCGAGACTGTTCTGGAAGAGCTAGGGTATCCCAATGCACTTCATTCTATCTGTGCTTCAATTCAGAAACAGTACCTTGCTAAGAAATGAGTTACAAAATTGCAGGAGCTTGCTGATATTCCCAAGGAGCATGCCGAAGCTATTGTCAATGCTATGTTGCACGATGTCACGCTTTCATAATTTTTTTTCAAAAGTTTTTGTCCCATATGTATGCTCAATTTGACAATATTACACTAGCAAATACTCTTTTACTCAGTCCATGCCATTTACACCACCATAATGTTTGGATTTCGCTCACACAATTCTCATTGGCTGGTTCCCTGAACTCAGGGACCATATGTCAAGGTGTTGGAAGAAGTTCAACAACAACTCACAGAACGGCGGTGTGCTAAACGCCTCGATGAGGACCATGAGATCCAGCTTGTCCTTAACTACATCAATGCCAAGGCCACAGATTTGGCGGTGAAATTCAAACAACCTCATCGCTGATATTTGGAGCGATTCTCACTTGGTTCCATTGTCCACCACCGCAAATGCCACAAGACAAGTGCGTGGCATGCGTATATGCACTTTAAAGGCATCGAGGCCAATTCCAGTAAGTGTTCTTCAGCGTATACATCATTCATTGCTAATTTAATACTATTCTAAACAAAGGTACTAACAAGAAGTTGAACATCAGTGAGCTTGTCAAGAAAGCTAGCAACTACCATGAGCTCACTGACCGGCAGAAGGAGGAATTCATAATTGAGTTTGACAAAGTCAAGAAAGGTGCTCAAGATCGTCCACTCAATATCACTGCTCGTACACGTGCCGCAGAGTGTGCCCATAGTTTTCAATTTGTGAGAGAAGAGGTGAGAAATATACCTTTGAATTTGCAGTAAACTGAACAAGTGCATCTCTAGCTCGAGGCTCTTAATAAATGTGTCGGCGCCAAGGCTTTTGTTGTCATGGTTCATGGTGTTTCGGATTTTGCTATGGCCCCAAAGGCCTTTTTCACCAGTCCTGCAACAGAACAATTCATCCGTTTATATTTGCGCAAAGACATTGCCAAGATGGCAACTGACTTCGAGAGCACAGTGCTGGCCAATGGCTTCGTCATCAGTGAGTATATGTTTTGATATTCTGAACCTTCAATGATGCTCATTTTTATTTACTAGACACTGCTTCTAACCATCGTGAACGCTGAAGGTTCAACGATACAGCAAGGCACAAACAATGCTCCTGACTGTATCTATAAATGTTGTAAGGTCGCGCGTTGCCTAGTCTGCTATACTTGAGACGACAAGTGCATTCGACCCTAAAGGGGAAGCGAGTGCAGCAAGGATCTAGTAGTAGGTGCTGAAGGCGCTACTGGTTGGCAAATGCGAAGTGCGGGAAAGCGCAGGTGCGCGCGAGGCGCGAGAATGCGCGAAGCGCAGGAATGCACGCGCATGTATGTGGAAACCAGAGAGAGTAAGAGTGAGTTTGCTTAAGTGATGATTAGACACTAGACAAGAGGTGAGAGATGCAAGCTGAGAGATGTTATATGCGAGGTGCCAAGGAATAGATTTCAACTATGCTCTGCTGGGTAGTAAATGGGTATTGTTCTGGTTCAGTCCTCTGCTGTTCTCCTTTAATAGTATGTACTGCTGGTACTTATATATGGTGCCTAAGCGCTGTCATGCGGAGCCGAAGCACTACCGAGCAAGGTATGTAAAGATATATGTAAGTAAGGGTCCATGATAAAAATAAAGGTGGAACGATATGCAAATAAGGGGAATGGAAATATATGCACTAGAGAGCTTGGTGGACAGTGGATGGATGCTTCTGGATGGCTGGCGCTATAGGGTGCTCAAGCACGGGAAAGTGCGCGCGCATATACATCGTGAAGCGCTGGAAAGGCACGCGTGCGAGTTGCACATTGCGCGGGAAAGCTGTGCCTCATGTAGGAATAGCTGTGGATAGCATACAGAGTGATGCTACAAGTTCGTGCCATGTACTCCCTAGTGAAAACTGCGATATTGCACAATGAGAGGCACGAGTCTCTACAACGCGTGGCAAAAGCAAAAACTGCCATCCACATTGGTCTATGTGCTTTGCTCTGTAAGTGGCTGTTATTGACTCGTTCTTACCATGTGCTCATTTATTGCAGGTGAAGTGACAGATGATTCCTCAGCGACCATTGAGTTTACCTGGTACAATGATCTTGTGCATGATTACCACATCAAACTGGTGGGATGGAATCACCCCCAATGGGCCAACCCATCAGACTTAAAGGGGGGGATTGAAAGCCTCGAGAAAGTCACCAGCGCTATTGCAGAAGGCACTTGTAAGTTCGTGTCGATCACATGTGAAGAAGTGGAAGAGTGGATGAACTGTATCAAGAATGGGGAAAAGCTCACTCCTGAGCTCGAGCCTCCCATGCCACCTGACACTCTTCCTTCATTATCACCCCCCACAACTGCTACACCTTCTTCACCTTCTCCGCTCGAGGATGAGAATGATTCTGGGCCTCCTTTTCTTGAGAATGAGAATGATTCTGGGCCATCTCCTTTTGAGGATGACAACAATCCCCTTCCCATTGAATCTACTCGCATCTCCTCAGTAACAGATGACTTGGTGGATCCTGCACTTCGTGTGCTTTCCAGTCAGCCTCAACCTCGTGCTACAGCCTCACCTCCTCCAGCTAATGAAGATGCTCTGGTCTTGACGATGAATCACAATCGCAAGCACCCTGTTGACGACATGACACCATCCGAGGGACAATGCCCAAAGTGTGCCCACAAGCTCACTGAAAAGGCACAACAGCTGGACTCTGACTCATGTGAGACCAACAAAGTACAGCAGTGGAAAGCAAAAGGTGGACAGCGCACAAAAAAAAGCAAGGCCATCATTGATTCAGACTGAGAGAACATCATGTAGTAGAATGGTTTTCGGCCAATATATCAACTATTTTATGTGCACATTACCTCTGTCCATGAGAAGTATGTTTGTTATCAAAAAATTGCTATTAAAAATATGTTATTTTGATGATCTACTCAAGCTCGCTGTTGCAGATGATGAGCGCAAAGGTGGTGGCACTGCGCTGCTTATGTGAGGTGACGAAGTTGCCAAATTGAGCCATGTTATTAAATAAACCGCCAGTGCTATATACTACATACATAAGGTAGAAAAGCTAAGTACAACTCTATAGAACCTGCCAGTGTGCACCGCCGGTGCTGCATAGGAATGCCTTCAGGCTTAATTAAGTGGTTCTGTGATAACCGTGGTACCACTTTACTAACTGGGATATGTGGGAATAATAGGCGAGTGTTACAGCGGCTATGCAACCGAAATTTTCAAGAGATGGAGTGGACAATCTCGGAGGAGTTGCATGAGGAATAAACAGTGATTATTCGAACATAGAAAGTAGGATTGCATGGATGTACGGGCATTCCTTGGGGATGTGATGGAGGCTCATTGAGGCCATCATCTGCAGGCAGGACGCTCAAGTAGCACACAAAGACATCAAGAGGAGAAAGGAGAAATGAAGAAAAAGACAAGGGGGGACGAGCAAAATTGAAAAACTTAATTAGTACAGAATCACGGCAACATAACTCAAAGCTTGTTACCACACAAGTACATCTTCTCGCGAAACACAAGACTCCTGAGATGTTATCCGAGTCAATATACTGGTAGGTGGCAAGGAGAATAGAAATACTCACTGTCGACCCCTTCACATGACACCAGAGACATTGCTGGATTTGCTGGAGGGTAATATGTGGAACATATTTGTAAAGTATTTTACATCTATTGTTCAATGTTGAACCTAAACAAATAATGCACAAATGTAAATTTTGTCGTCAAAATTGATTCCCTATCAGATTTATCTCCAAATAAAGAATATATAGACAATAATATTTAGAATTTGAAAGGAAGCCTTTGTTTTTGCACCAGATCCATGCTCATATTGAAATTATGACAACAATGTTTTGTATGTGCAGATCTGGTTTGGATTATTCTGAATTTGTTCAATGACTGGCCCATAAGAAATCTCTATACCAGATATGTATAGGGTTCATATTGAAAATTTGTAATTAAAATTGATCAGCCACCATATTCATACTTAAATTCTATATATGACATGTATCTTAGAGCAAAACAGATTTTATTTCAAAGTTTAGATATGAGATGCCATCAGATTTAGGATATTGTCCCCTCAATTTGCCTAAATGTCATATCACAAACATATGTAAAATTTGATACCCAATACTACAGCAGTACAGATTCTATTACTAATGCAAAATGTTTCTGCAGATATGATACCAATCTGTCCTGGAGACAGATTCCATCCTGCCTCAGGTGTTTTTTTTTTTTTTGGTGGAACGATATTGTCGACTAGCAACTGACAAGGTCAATCCTAGAAGACACATTTGGGGTACGGGAGTTTCACCCGTGTGGATAATGTATAGATAGTCACCCAGAGGAAATACTTTATGTACGCAAGTTTGCAGTGTGGGACTCAGCACTTATCGGAGTTACCTGTTCCGTCCTGGAGGATGGCGAGGCGCCATACCCACTAAAACCTCTGATTTCCGGATCCAATTGTCCGGAAGATTGTCTTCATTCTGTAGTACGCTGCTCCAGGTCTGTAGGACCATCTCTATTTTAAGAGCTTTTTTCCCGTATCTCATGGAGTTGGTGAGCAGCCAGTCAAATTTCAACCTCATGTTCATGGCATGGATCCATCTGTTTAGGATCTCTGTCTTGGAGTGGTACTTATCTTTGTCTCCGCCGAACTTGATGGTTCTTTCGCAGCGGAGCTTCCATATAAGGTGAGCAGATTCTAGTACTAGTATCTTGAATAGTCTTATTGAGCCCAATTTCTTTTTTCCTTTCGCATTTCGGAAGGTGGCTAGGTTGCAGCCTAATATTGTCCCAAATCTGATGTCTGGCCAGTTAGACTCACGTTTGTGCCATAGATCCTTTGCCGCTCTCCAGATCGTGCGTGACGCGGGAGATTCACACTCAATTAGGATATGTTCCATCAATTCCAGAGCACCACATAGTCCGCAATTTCCTCTGTGCTCCCAGTTTGGGATCTTATCCCAGAATTCCCCAATTTTATACGTGCCATGTAGGCTCTTCCAAAGGAAGCCTCGTATGTTTCTTGGAATGTCACTGTCTCATATGGACTTCCAGACTTGCGCGCTGGTTGGGGTCTCTCCATTGATGTTGAATATGGTGTATTGGGTCATTGCTAGGTTCATTCTGGTACGTCTTCGTTGTTTTGGGGTAGTTGTGGTGTTTCTAATGTTCATATAGAACAATTTCTGTGATCCAGCGCTAAGTGCCATGCCAGTTAGGTCAAGTGGGTCATTCACAGTGGTTACAATGTCGTCGCATTGATCTTTGTTCATGCCCGAAAGGGCTAGATTAGATGCTCCTTCTGTGAGGAGTTTAGGTGTGTTGCTGTCCCAACCGGTTATGGTTGTTAGAGCACTGCACAATCTCAAGCTTGCTACCAGTGCTTTCATCAGGACCTTGTGTTCGTGTGCCGACCAGTTTAGGTCTTCTAGTCTTCGTAAGTTTTTTGTCAAATCTTTCCTTAAACGAGGAGATTTAATTATCATGTGGAGAGGAGTGTTCGTGGGGGTGGACTGTACTGCTTTGAGCATGGCTGCAATCTCTCCTGCACCAGGAGCGGCTAGTCATTCTGGCAGGTTGACAGACAGGTTGCGGGCATCATCCTGTCCGAAGAATGCTCCACCACCTGAGACATAGTTTCTGTCTCTGTTGATTCGGTGTGAGCTGGTGATAGTGATCGTGGTCAGGTGAGGAATATCTCCTGGTGTTATTGGTGATTGGATAGCTGATGAGGTGCAAGGCTGCTTGGATGTTACGAAGGCGCGGAACCCATCTTTGAGAGATTCAGGTGAAGGGAAGGTGGGGTCGAAAAACTCAGTCTTTTCTTCAGGATTATTTTCTGGTGGAATTTGTTCTGGTGAGATGATGAGAGAGTATCCGTTGGTACATGTTTTTGGGTGCCATTTTGGAAGGATGCATTTGAGTATTTCATTGGCCAATTTCGCGCATTTGAAAGGTTTTTTGCAGTTGAAGGATGTTCTATCATGGTCGCAGTGTTTGCAGGTGCATGCCTTGTTTTGTCTATGGAGTGGAGATTGTCTAGCTGTAATGTTTTCTAGTTGCCCGACTGAGGTGACAGCATGTTTTTCTCTCAGACAAGTTGCATACGAGTGATTGTTCAGCTTATTCAGGTTGTTCGAAGCTCCGATATGGAACCATACTGGGAGTCGCCTCGCAATGTCATTGTTGATGGATATTGCCTCCCATCTAATGTTATATATCTTGGCTGTCTTGATTATGCGATTCAAATGTGGTGAGAGTTTCTTCAATGAGGGGGACCATGTTTGTAGGAAGGAGCTGATCCTAGCTCGAGGTTTGACTACTGGGGATGCAAGTGCTGCTTCAGAGATCAGGGTGTGGGCAAAGAAGGCCCATTGTGGGCATTCCTGTGGTGGGGCAAGAAGGCCTTTTAGCCATTTAAGCTCGATCACTTCGTTTCGGCTTTTTAGGTGAAGTATGTTCTTCCCTCCTTCCGTTATTGGTGCACACAGCGTGTCTATGCTAATTGAGTTACTCCCCCGCTATCCCAGATGAATTTACGAGTTCTTGTTCTCAGGAGTTCCTTGGTGTCTTTCGGCATTCCCTGTGCGGTGGTCAAATGTTGTGTCATGCTTCCGATGGTTCGCTGGAGGATAATTTTCCTCCCTTCTATGGTGGGGCGCCATCTTTCCCATCTCTGGAGTGTGCTTTCAATTTTTTCTAGGACTGGAGACCATATTGCCTGCTCGTTGATTCCATTACCGATCCATGCACCGAGAATTCTCGTAGCTTTGCCGTCTTTGGCAATGTCGATGTTGGATGGAAGAGCTTCTTGTGTGTCATTAATTTTCCGGGTCTCTATTACTTTGTTTCGATATTCTCTAGAACTAATTGGGATCACCTCTGTTTTCGAGATGTTGAATTTTGCTCCGGACGCTCTGCACCAGCCTGTTAGGATGCTGCTTAGTGCTTTGAATTCATCTTTCTCTGATAGGTAGACGGTCGTGTCATCAGCAAACATTGTCACCACAATGCGGTAAGCCATTTCCTTGGTTTTGAAGCCTGCAAAGTTTGATTTTCTTAACATTTCGGCTAGTGGCTCAATTGCAAGATCAAACAGGAGGCACGATAGGGGGTCTCCTTGTCTTACACCCCTTGTCACTTTGTATTTGGCGCTGATTTCACCATTTATCATTATAGAAGTTTCGGCATCTCTGTAGAGAGATTGTACCGTTTTGATGAAGTTCTCCGGTATGTCGAATTTTTCTAGAACTTTCCACAGATAGTCATGTGCTATTTTGTCGTAGGCTTTCTCTTGATCCAGCGCTATGATTATGCTGTTTTCCTTTTTGACCTCAGCATACTCCATGATCATTTGGGTCAGGCGAATTTGATCTGTGATGCTTCTACCCGGTATGAAGCCAGCTTGGTTTTCGTGGATGATTGGTGGTACAGTCCTCGCAAGTTTGAGGGCTAGTGCTTTGGTGAGTGCTTTATAATCACTGTTCAGGAGAGTGATTGGCCTATAGTTTGCAATCTCCCATCTATCATTCTTCTTGTATAGTGGATGCAGCAGTCCTTCTGCGAAGCAGGAGTCTTTTGTTACTCCGTAAGATTCAATATCATTGTATACTGCCGTGAGACATTCGGCAAAGTCAAAAGGTGACTCTTCTCTGTTGTTCTTTGGGATAGCCTTGACTTTTTCATTGAGCCATTTCCAGAACTCATACGGTACTCCATCTATCCCAGGGGCCTTGCCATTTGGGAGGAGACTCAATACTTCTTCAATATTGTCCTTTGTGAGAGGATTCTCTAATTCTTTTTTATTTTGTGGCGAGAGTTTGATGTTTATTGTGTCTAGGACTTCCTCAAGTGCCTCGTCATGCTCGTTTCCTTGTGCCATGCCCTCTTTTTGTAGGTTATCATAGTAATTTCTTGCTAGTTCAGCCATCTTATCTGATCGCTGTTCGTAGATCAGTGAGTCTCTCTGGGACTCAGGTTTCCTGAGCTCAATAATTGTGTCGCGGGATTTCTGTTCTTTCCCAGATTTGGCCCAGAACTTGCTCGCTGATGACTCACTTTCGAGTCTTATTTTTGCAGCTAAGTGGTCTCTTGAGGTCTCGTGTTGAAGCAGTTCCAGTTGATTTAGCTTTCCTTGGATGTGTAGGCCAACCAATTGTCTTTCTTCGTCTGATAGTGTTGAGTCCGTCATTGTGGCTTTAAGCTGGGACTTTAGCTTATTCTTTTTTTTAGGGATTACTTTCCTGGCTGTATTGCGGCAGAGATCTATAGCTTTGTTTTTAAAAGCAGTGAATGATAACTGGGGATTGTTCGAGTCCGTGCGTTGGACCTCTGATTTCTTAATTTCCTGATGTAGGGATTTTCCTAGATTGACAATGTCATTGCCGAGTTTTTTATCTTTAAGGACATAGAAGGGGAGGGACCATCTCCCTTCTCCGACGTATGGCATCTTTTTGTTTGAAATTCTTGTGGAGACTAATTGATGGTCCATATGCAGGCCTGGGGGTGAGATATCCCAATCTTTACTAAATGGCAGTAGCTCTTCTTTCATATAGATCCTATCGATGCGGGACTGGTGTCCACCTTGGCGAGCAGACTGTGCAAAGGTGTACAGGAGCGTGTTAGGGTTTTCGTGGCGCCAACCATCCCGTAGTTTGAGTTGGGATTTCAGATCAAGTAGTGATGATGTGGGGGCTGGTGGGTCTGCTTTGGGGGGGAGTCTGTCTAGTGCATCTTCAACCAGGTTGAAGTCACCAAGCATGATATCAGGTTTAGGTAGGCCTCTCAGCTTCAAAAGGACATTCTCCCAGAAGTACTGGTTGTTTTGTGAGTCGTTTGGTGCATATACCATCAGGATCTTAAGTGTAGTATCTTTCAGCCAAGGAATGATCGCAAACAGTGCTCATCCAGGTACGAGCTCATGATATTTAATGTTGGAGACATCCATAAGTTTCTTATTTATGACAATGGCAACTCCTTTCGCATTTGTGTGGGCTGGGTCAATAGAAGATATAATGTGGAGACTCAGACCGGGTGTGGTGTTAAGGGATGTTTCATCATCTTTCGTCAGATGTGTTTCTTGCAATGTTAGTACTCCGATTCTTTGTTCTTTCATAATTTGGTTGATATGGGTCCATTTGTCAGAACCTTTGTGCCATCTTCCTTGCATATTCAAGGTTGCAATTTTGACATTCGCTCGTGTCTTTTTCTTAGGTTTGCAAGTGGTGCGTGGGTTTTGCGCTTGGCTTAGTGTGGGGCCACTATCACTTGTTGCTGGGACAGGTATGGTATTATTTTGAGCCGCAGTAGTGGGTTGTTGGGTGTCCATTATGGTGGATTCTCTGTTAGGAGTGGCTATGTGTTCATTAGCATCGGAGGTGTTGGAAGCTAGAGGGGAGAGAAGGTTAGTAACTTGGTGCCCATCACCATAACCTGCTGATCCATCTTCGAGGGTTTGTCTGACGGGCAAGGCACAGTCCTCTCCGGATCTGCGGGAGCTGTAACCATGACCGAGTGTATTGACCATGTTAGATGAGTTTGTTTGTGTTGTAGAAGTAGCAGTTAAAATACAGCACCATGCCTTAACCACAGCAATGGGCCGCGCTGACTTATCCCAGCCAGACGAAGGGAGGACTATGTCGTAGGGGAGACAGCTATTTCGATAAGGCGATAAAAGTGACTCATCCATGACTTCAGCATCTCTGCATGGCACATCCCTGACCTAAAAAGGTCACTGTTGAAAAGAATAAGTCCGGAGTTTTCCTGTTCAAGCAGTAAATTTGGGCTCCCATAGACTTTCTCTACTAGTTGTTGCATGCCTGAGCAGATGTTGAACAGGTTCTCCTTATCCTTACATTAGGAGAGTACACAACAGAGTTATCATATCATCGGTCGTAGCAATACATTGTACAGGTATGTTCAGGGCTTCTATGGGTGCGGTATCATAAGTTGTTGCCCCCATCTAGGGGGCTCTGAATCCTCTGCCCCTCTTTCCTGATCCACGTGGGGTTCCTCTCATATAGCCTCTGGATTGACCTCTGCCTCCACCATTGGTGTTGCCATTGGAGGCTCCTCAGCCATGGCTTGACGTGTTTCGGTTGTCAAGGGTGGCATTAGTGTTATCTTCTGTAGTTGAAGGGCCGAACCACCCAAGAATTCGGGGGAAGGGACAGAGCCCTGTCGGGTGATCAAACGACTTACATCCAACACAGACAAATTGTGCGTCATGGCGTGCTGTACCATATCCATAGTCTTCTGAGATGTAGAAGAAGCTACGGAGGATGTTGGTCCAATCAAAGTATTATTTGAGGGTGAGTGCAGGGGGGGAGTCAAAATAGATGTTCCAGACCGTCTCTTTAACTGATTTGAAGTGGGCGAGGGTGAGGCTGGTGACCCTGACAGATTCAATAGTGTGTAGTGCGGCTTCTGCATCTGGGGAGGGTATGTTTTTGTGGATGAAGTGTAGCACGTCAGGGTTGGAGCGAATGGTGTCTTTGACAATTTCCGCGATCACCTTATTGGTGGATTCAGAGTCAGGGAAGGAGAAATTTTCCAATGTGAACGCATAGGTGGGGAGGGGCTGTTCAAATGGTACAAAGAAGCAAGATACTTCAGGTGACGAGCACACTTGGAGGCGGAGAAGCCTTTCAATAGCTTCGGGGGGGATGCCGGAGATGAGGAAGTGCCAAGGAGGTGGCAGCCGTTCAATGAGCTCGACCGCTGCTGTGGGGGTGCTCACTACAAGATCCTCGGCATCGGATTCACCAATGATTTTGGTTATCGCATCCTTGAGTTTGGCTACTGTACTTTGTGCGTTGCTCTCATGTTTAGCCCTGTACGTCCTGACCCATGCCTTGGCACCCTCCTTCTGGGGCCACTTCTCCTTCAGGATCTGCGACACATTGTGCCAAGTTGACTGGCCAAGCTGAGGGACAGGGAACCCTCCGGCAGGGGTAGCTGTAATCTTGAAGCCGCTATCGAGGGTTCTGACTCCATTGACTTGTAGGATTTGTTTAGTGGCAGAAGACGTATGGTATGAGTGAACTTACTCGACACCTCTTGGGTGGATGGAGCCTCGCTCGTTTGAAGGAAATGCCATTGATTGGTGGTAGCCTGCGGCTGGTTGGGGCGCTCTATATTTGGGCGTTTGTTTGGGGTAGCATTTGTATTTTGTGCGTTGGCCACACTGAGCTGATTTTGCGTGTTGGGCGTTTCTGTCCGGGATGAGGGATTTGGAGTTGGGGAGGTAGGGCGAGTACGCTTATTGACACATGAATCAGTGTTCATATGATGGGTAGGGGCCATGTTTTCGGGGGCGATGGCCTTCTGATTAGCTGGAGGCATAGGGACGTCGTCTGAGGACATCTCGAGAGTCTGGGGTGGGTACTGAGAGCGAGTAAGGGAGTTTGGGGTACGATTTGGTTTGAGAGTGGAGAGTGATATGGGTCGGGTTTTTATAGGTAGGGGCTGAAAGGCTCCTTTGTTGGTCCGTAAACAGCGTGTTATGGCTCCCTTTGTTGTAAGTAGACACGCAGCACCTGAGATGATGTTGATGTACTATAGTTGTCACAAAGGACTTTTGTATGAGCGAGTGGCGTCGATGTGTGGCACATGTGGTTTGGGGTTTCGTCTCTGGATGAGAGGTGTTTGAGGGTACCGTGTCACTCGACGGACGACTTGCGTTCAGGGGACATGTGAGGTTTTGTCGTAAGTATCTTACGGATTCTTGTGAGGCAGGGGAGAGTATCCTTCTGTTCCGTGACTTACATGTTTTTAGCTCCATATCCGATTAAGGCTCTTGGTGAGGCGGAGGCGGTGGCGCGACCTTGTCATTGTCGTTGACCAGCAATGGCGATGGGGGAGGTGGGGGCTCTCTATGTTGACATGCTTGGAATTTACACTCTAGTGAACCATTTATTGAAAAACGCTAGGTCTTTGGGTAGACGGTAGCGCCAGGCGGCTCCTGATATCGGTGCCACCCTACTTGAATGTGGTGGTTCAAGTCCAAGAAGCCCCCCATATCCTGCCTCAGGTGTGACCATATTTTCACATAGTCTACCTATCTATGGCATTATCATGTATCATGTGATCTGCAATAAAGATACCTAAATCTTCCCCATACTGTGGTTGAATGCGATTATACAGCTTGTCGTTCACATGTTATAAACACTACAATATCTGCAATTGACGGACGACTTGCACGAGGCAACCAGCATCGCTGTATGAACTCCCAGTGCCCAGGTGCTATTTGCGATTCCTTAGGAGGTTCTGGTTTGATCCCTTTGATGACTTGTCCCAGTACCGCAATGTCCTTCTTCACATTGTAGTAGGGTACTTTGCAAGTCAATACCTAGAGCATGTGCGAAGTGAACAAACATATATTATTCAAAATCGAGTCACCAACCTGAAGCGTGATACTGCCAAATGAGTATATGTCACACTCGGTGCTGAGCGAGAGTTCATCATCCTCTGATACTTCACATAATTCTGCAGCTACCCATCGGACGTGCCCTCGAGTAGAGTTCGTAAAATATGAGGTACCGACGAACTCCAGGATTATAGTAGAAAGACCAAAGTCGGCAAGGCATGCCCGACCGTTGGCATAAATCAAGACATTTGACTGGAGAGTTGGCACGTGAGTAATGAGAACATTCTCTGTATGGTCTTACACACCCCTGTTAGGTCCCCATGAACAACTGATTTGTTGTGGACTGAACCAACGTGAGCTTTTGTGAAATGGGTGCAGTGAACGACGAACTTACGGTATCGCAATCCAAGAGCAATGTCATTCAGCTGGCGAACCCCGGGAGGTCAGTAAGTATTTAGAGATGCTAGATGCACAGGGCTTACAAGGGAGAACTTATCGTAAGATGACAACGAGCTTTCTTGCCTCCCAAGATAGCCCGTGAGCGCTCCGTTATCAGCCCATGGGCAAATCATTGCGGGGTAAGGTCCAAAGTCATTTGCCACTCCCCAGAGTGGAAGAATGCTATCATGCTTGAGACGGCCCCAAACTTTGAGTTCGCGACGCACTCTCTGAGGTCGATTCAACATCAGATAAACAGACATGCATGACACCTTTGGAGAGCACATCACCTTACTATTCTTCCGTATCAATACCTCGTCATCAGATTCGAAAGCACGAATAGTCTTTACTGCTACCTAAGTCATTATCAGAATGATACCGTAGGAAATGCGACAAGGTGGGCGTACTTGTACAGTCCCATCGGGCTTCACTAAATCACACTTCCAGATGTCTCCAAAGCCTCCAGAAGTTATCGGATAGCGTGATCTTCCCTGGAGCTTATTAGTAAGATCTCGCAGCGAATGTGATGGTGCTCGGGTCAGCTCTGGAGATGGAATGTGATTCCCGGAAGTAGTATTGGACTCGACGGTAGCATCGGTTTCTGTCCCATTCCTGTGTTCCGTTCCGAACACATTCCGATCATCTCTTTGAGGACGTGTGGCTGCTTTATTTTTGGTATTGGGTGATGATTGTGCACAGGGACTGCTCGGTGTACGAGTTCCAAGCCTGGTTCTTCGCTGAGATATAGACATGGCACCGATATCGTTAGGTAGAGAGCTTCCTGATGCGACTTGCCCTGGCGGTAAATCTGAATTGTCAACGTCGTCGTCATACTGATGAACATGCTGAGCCTGACAGTATCCGTGCCGCATGTCCTGTGAGGAGGGTCGAGCACGGAAGTTAGATGACTGCCCGCTCCGCGGGAGCTCATCCGGTGTCTGTGGAGAATGCGAGAATTGATGTGTTTGATACGGTGAGCGCAATAGAAGACCCAAGTCTTTGGGACTCGGGGTAGGCTGAAAGCCGTCATCATCCATTGTAAACAATTTCTTGGTAGCGATAGGCCTGCTGGCAGACGGTGGGGGTGACTGCGAGGACGAGGGGAAGTAAGAGTGTCCCATTGAGAATGTAGAGCTGAGGCTGTCTGAAGAGTAGGAGTAGCCCATGGCAGAGCTCAGACTGCCTGAGGAGCGAGAGTGCCTGGTGGCGGGGACGACAGAGCGCGGGTTGACTGGTGCTGATAGCGGAGATGAGGGTTGAAAAGGGCTGGACGTGTGATAAGGGAATGTACGATCATCAACTTGTGGTTGTCCAGAGGAGGGCGGATAAGGGTGGTAGCGAACAAAATTGAGACTAGGCAACGGAGGTGATGGTGAAGGTCGATTATCTTCTGCTGCTACATAGTTTGGTTGAGAATATGATTCACTACCAGATCCAGAGCCAACAGATGATGAGGAAGTAAATGTGCTCCTTTTAACAGCACCACGACGAATCCTCGAAGCCATGCCAGTAATAGGTATCGGAGGAGTAGACGGCACCGCAGACTCCTCATTAGCCGTCATAACACCGGTCTTGTCTTTCTTCCGACGCTGTGTCGACACCACGTACCCTTCCTTCTTGGCACGAGAACGGGCGTAGCGCAAGCCACATCTGGTCAATGAAACAGAAAACAAGTAAATATTAGTAAGTAGTCCCGTCGCATTTTGTGGTATCACCTACGCGTTACAGAGCTCCTTCCTGCCACTGGGGCCCTTCCTCCATTCAGGACTAGACGTTGCCTTGCAACTACTGCATTTGAGAACGCCCAGAGGGCGATTGTTGGTGCTATGCGGCAGGGTGTCCTTATGTAATCCGGGGCTCACTCGGTGCCTTGGAGGAGGTACAATGTCGGTACCACAGGGCGGCGCCGGCGGTACACTGGCCCCGAAGGCAGCATTGGCACTGTAGTCCTCAGGACTAGGTGTGGCTCGGTAGTTGCTTAAAGATGCTCTGTTCTCGCCATAAATTGGAGACGGCGGGAGGGATGCCATCGAATGTGCAGGGCTTTGAGCAGGCCACCTGTCAAACTGAGAACGCGAGGAAGAAGGCTCCGAGTCACTCCCCCAGGGCGAGTGGGAGTATTGGGACGTCAAAGACTGCGTGTAGTGCCCGTAAGGTTGTGGCATTGAGGTAGACACAGGCGGGAGTGTGTACGGGCTTGCCGACAGGTCATAGGGGTGATGTTGCCTGTGTGCAGGCATGTAGGCGTCTGTCGACCTCGTGAATGGCTGAGACTGAGAATAAGAGACAGACAAGCTTTGCGAAGCAGGCTGTTGAATGGCGTGGCATGCAAACGTTATTGAACCTATATCCGCTTGCTTAATAGAAGTACATGGATTTCATCATGGAGGCGCTTACCATGCAGGATGAACACGCTTTCTACTTCGCCTATTCCAGGCATTGTATCTTGGATTCTCCAACGTCTCGTGCAACTCGTCTTCGCACTAACATCCGGAGTGGACGTCTGAATGCACACCGCTCGTCTTGCAAAGTCTTTCGCTCCTGGCATACCAGGATATTCTTGGCTGCTGTCCGATGGCCAGCTCAACAGAAGACGACAGTCCTGCTGGTTGTTGAACAGGATCTGGAATACCCTGGTTGTGACGGTTGATTGAGGAAAGTAATATAGAAGCCGCTGTTGCAATAGCGTTATCTGTTCTGGGTGCATGCATGGCGTGCCACACCAATTTGTCCATGGAGTTCTGTGATGTTCATCATTGTCACCAGGTTCAAGATCGACGACTGCGTGGATAAAGCATAACACGAGGCCCTCTGCAGCCCAGTTAATTACGATGTCGACGACCATGTAGTAGGCATCCACGGAAACCTTGTCACCATCAGGCCACGGTTGAGTAGGCCCTTTGTGACCGAGGATGCGACGGATGCGAGCGAGACGACAATACCTGACCCTGGAAAAGATGAGGTCAAGATAAATATGTTTGCACTTGGAATCGCTTACCTGGTAACACTACCATGCATCGTCCTTTGTTCAAGAGCTTCTGCTAGATCTGCTCGCGCAGTAGCCTGCTCTTCGGGGTGAACAAAGAATAGGAGGGACTTGCCAATGAGCAAGTCAGCCTGGGTTTCAAGATGACAGGTAAGAACGGGATCCAGATAGACGAAATCCAATTCGGACGATAATAAGGACCAGTCTAACGGTGCCACGAAGTACAAAATCTTGGTTAGCGAAATCATTGACGAAGAGAAAATTACAGGATAGTGATGGATTTGTAGAGGTACCGAAACAATCGGACTGGAGACCCTTTAGGGAATGATAGACTTTGGTAGACTCACAGCATCTGGTCTCGCTAACCTTTGGCAAATATTGAGACATGGCATTGTCGATAAAAGGTGGAAGGGATGTTGAAGTTGAGAGGGCGAACATGCCCCGATGACTCGGATACCCTTCCAAGGAGGAAAAGGATAGATGAGATCCGTTTGACTGCTTATGTATGGAAGAGAAGTCGCCCACGGGCTCAAGCGCTCAGGCTGTGTTACATGTTCAAGGCCTCATTGCGTTGGCATAGGCTACTCTATTACGTCGTAGCGGCGGCGAGCTCGAGCCGCCAGTCCCCGACTGAGTTTTATCTTCTCTTTCTCACGGTAAAAAAGGCAGGCACACATTTGCCTAGATGTTTCGTGCATACAGAACCGAGGCTCCCCACCTTGTGGAGTCGGGATAATCATTACAAGGTCATGGCAGTACGACGACTACGGGGACATGAAGTATGGACAGTTAACAATAAACAAAAATAGTGCACAGTTTATCACATAAGTCAAGTTCCAATTTAACGGGGTTCAAAGTCACCCTAAAATTCCCGAGGAATGAACTTACGACCGCATGCCTCGAGAGCATCTTCAACGATCTTCATCCCCTGCAAGACTTTCTCTTCCTCAAAACGCCTTCCGACAACTTGCACGCCAAGGGGCAGTCCGTGCATTTTATCGGCATCATAAACAGAGTATGCACCCTTAGAAATCAACCCCATCTTCTTGTAGTCGGAACTCTTCATAAAATCTTTCGGTAGCCCGTCCGATTGGCGGTCAACAAAAGATACTGGGAGAACACCAGCAGCAAAGTCCAACTGTTCGCCATTGAGCCCGCGATGAGAATACGATATTGAAAATGAAGCTTACGATATTAAAAATCATCGTGTAGGCAGCAGATACTAGGGTCACCTTCTCTGCGGTTCCAGCAGGGATAGCGGGCAATGAATGTGGAACCGTCAGCAAAAAGTCGAACTTTTCATCTTCCCATGCTTGGTGCCACTTTTCTCTGTACTCGTCTCGGGAGACGACAAGCACACGTTCTTCGGCCGGCGATTTGAGGTGAATCGTCTCGAGCATAGATGCCCAGACCTCATCACCAGTAGATTTACGCGTTACCATTGCCATGAACTTCTTGAGCCAAAGGGGCATCCCCAACAAAGACTTGATAGCAACCATCACGGGGTCAAGTTTCTCGTCCTTACGCACAGCACCAAAGAAAGCAGCCCCTAAAAAGAGTTCAGTATATATGGCTTACAGCTCGATAGAAGGATACTCACCCCCATCTCCAAAACATAACTGAAGTCCGGCGTTCAGACCTTCTGGGATGCTAGGGGGTACACTACGTGATGTTATGGGTCAGCAAAATTCAAGATTAGAGCGGTTCGAGCGCACAAATCAACTACTTCATGGCCTTGCTTCTCCAATGCATCACAGGCCCATTCCAAAGCACGACGACAAGCAGGAGAGGGAGAAACAATGCCTAGGCATATGAGGAACGAATGTAAAAGCAGCGTAAAGGGGGCTGACCATCTTCCCAAACGACTCCAAACTTCAGCTTCGTCTCTTGAAGATTTACGGGTCGCCAAGGTAATGGAACACACTGCAGCAATCATCAGGTCTGGTGGATGTTGTAAATGAGAGCTTAGCGAACCGTATGGTCATACTCCCATGGCCGCATCTCCACAACACGCTTCCAAAATTCTTCGAGGTCTTCCAGTCTTCGAGACATCGGAGCGGATGTAGTAGCCACTGATTCTAATCCAGGTACAGGGGAATGCGTGCCCTGACATGGAAACCGTCCTATCGAAGACCTCATAGCATAGAGTCCGCAATAATGGGCGGGCAACCTTACGCTGCCGCCAAGATCTGTGCCGATTTCGATGACACTCCCCCTGCATGCAAGAAGTGCGCCCCCACCACCTGTCGAAGCGCCGCTGGAGAACTTCTTGTTATACGGATTACTCGTTCGCCCAAAAAGGTCTGATGATGTCTCCAGTCCGAGGAGACCGGGAGGTACGGTAGTCTTCACGTGAGTGATTGCCCCTGCATCATGAAGAAGTCGGACTATCGCTGCAGACGACGAAGCGGGATGATTAACTTTAGAAGAATAACCAATAGTAGTGTCGTAGCCTTCGATATCGATACAGTCTTTGATGCTGACAGGGACACCGGAGAGGAGTTTCGCGGGTTGTTCGGGAATGTCTGTGCCGTCTGAACCAGTTGAAGGAGCTGGAACTTTCGGGACCAGAGCTTCTTGAATCATGATCCCGGTTAGGCAATTAGTGGCCTTCTGCGCGGAGACCACTTTCTTTCCATAAGCATTCAAAATGCTCGCCGTTGACAGTGAACCCGCGTTATGGCGTTGGACTAGTTCGCTTAGGGACAAGTCAAGCACCTTATTCTCGGGCTCTGTGCATGGCTCGAAGAACGACGAGGGCAACCCATCCAATGTCTTCCGTCGTTCCTCTTGTTTGGCGGCGCTGAGGGATTCATAAGTAAAATTTTGAACACAGGGAACAACTGGATGCATACCAGTCACGTCGATGTTGGGACTGGAAGAACATATTCAAGAAGTCAGAGATTGGGGCACAAAACCGATCATGAGCGCACAAGACTCTGCCTCATTAAAAGCTTTCGGTACCTCTCGTAGGTCCTAAGTAAGTGATGAACTAGCCATGATTTGGGGCTGCTTGCGACCCGAAGGTACGATACCAGATCTCAGGGTGCCATAATTGAAAAAAAAAAACGGAGATATCAAAATACACTCAGTCAAATATATTGGAGATTTGATCACACCTGTTATATTTTAGACGTCCTCTGACAGGCAAGCCCAAAGAAGACGTGGAACTGTATCTTCCAGAACGGAGCAAAATTTAGAAGACCCTCCAGCCTAGCAGCTGGATTTACCTGCGGAGAAATCGTGAGAGTGATGAAATACAAGAGAGTACAGGGCGCTCGCTGGCATTTCTGGTCACGGCACGTCTTGGGACGACGCGTTTCGTTCTGTTTCGTTGCAATCAGCGTGACTGGCAAAAAATGCCCAGTCCGAATCAGGTAGACCGGTGATCGGATTCAACACCATGTCGAAGCCCCCAAAAAGAGCCAAGACTAGGTCCTAAATGTTGTGCCTCGTATCATTTTTGAACACTACTAGTAGATGCACGTCCCTCGGCAACGCCACAGGTTCTGACCCGCGCTTGGAATAGATGCAGGACCCCGGGTGCTGGTTTAGCTTCGATGCGAACCCTCGGAAATGTTTTGTCGTATCGACAAAGATCGGAGTGCGGAACAACCATTTGCCATATTGCTACCGGCAGAGGTTGTACATAAAACTTCCCTTTCAAAGGCGCACAGCTAGCCTCAATGGCACCAAGTGTTATCGTTCTAGCCAACTTTCTGAAAATACCGAAACGAGTGTCATTTTCTTCGGGATGTCATTTCAGAAAAGTTCACATACTAAAGAGCAAAATGTTAGTGTATGTTAGTCAACCGAATAAACATCTCGGTACCAGCAACGAGTACGTTCAGAAGATCAAGTGCTAACGCAAATGCGATCATTGTTGCAAGAGGTTATACTATCTGCGAGTCACCGAGGCACTTACAGTGATCTGCAAGACGTGGCACAGCCGCGATGAGGTGCCTGCAGTTTGACTCAATCACTGATCTGCGACAAGAATGAAAAGTAAAGGCGCAAGTCGCAACGTCGCTGTCATGGTGCGGAACGTGCACTTCCGTGCATTCGTAGTTCCCCAGCGTTTAGTCCGCGAGTGGTCGCCACGTCGCATGCTGCACATGAGTTTGATCATTAATATTTCCCTGGGTTGTATGTCGATGTCATTTGTATTTCGATTGGGTGCACACCTGGCAAACTGACAAGTCAAGCAGCATAGAAGCTATAATCCCGATACACCGTGTTCATGTTCATGGCCAAATTAATGATCGTCTTGGTGGCTCCCAGCGGCCACCTCCGAAACCATTGACTTAGTGCCCGTGTAAGATTCCTAAATGTAATTAACATTGAGTAAACGTGTAACCGCCACGTTGCTCATAGATGAGAAGCTGCAGCTTACCATTTTCACGCCGAAGGACTGTACGATATTAGATTTGATCTTGGGTGGTAGGCAAAATGATACAACCTCAATACCGTTCCATCCACCAACATGTGACCTTGTCGGCGGTCATGGTCACATCAACCGTCTGTTTCAATGACTTGAAATGCCGGCTTCTGGGAGTCGGGGCGGTGGTCAGTGTTGTCATGTCATGAATTTGAATGCTTGAACCCAGGCACTGTTTAAACACGTCAACAAGACACAACAAACGCGCCACTCTTGACTGTCACGCTCATCATTCACCACGGCAACTGAACAGCCAACGAAATGCTAAGCATGCAAAGTTCGAGTCCCATTTTCCAGACCCCCTCTACTCCTGGGCGTTCATCTTATTATTCTGCAAGGAGTCACCAGCCACTTACTTCGTCACCCCTGGCTTCTCCGAAATCATCGCCGGTAGCTGCCGCACAAGCAAGACGACAAGCCCAATACAAAGCTCGGGTAACTAGTTCATCCAGACGCGCGGCAACCCAGCTCCCATGCCCACAAACTGGTAGTCAAACGCCAGAAAACCCTCAAAAAACATTTTTACGTGATCGTTTTAAAGCCCGATGTCTTGAGCGCGCCCAGAAACAACGACATGATAAAGTACAAAAGCAAAGGACAAGTAGCAGCAGTGACGTGTTTTTTGATGCTGAGATGGACTGCGATGAGGATGAGGACGATGAATTTGTTATGCAAGATGAGGTGTGTGACTTTCCTGACAGGGGTCTACTGACGCTCATAATTGGACGCTGGCAGCTCTTTCGGAGAATCATTGCCAATACTGCACATAAGCAAAAACATTCCTATCGTCTTTCGTATTCTTTTGATGTCGGATCTTCCTTTGACCCAGACATGGAGGATGCAAACCGGTGGGAAAGCGAATTGCAAGGTCAGTTTCTCCTATTCTGAATGGCATCAATAAGCTTACCTTCGATGTGCTCTAGAAATGCCCCCTGACAGTTATAGTGTGACGCCGGAGGACCTCGAGCAAGAGGAAATTGATGCTTACGCCGCAGAATATGCAAACTGGCAAGAATTGTCGGATCTGGGTGTTAGCATCGATGACTTCTCGGCGTGGAGTGATATCGAAGATACCCCACTGTCGTCACCGCAAATGACGCACAAGGCAGGACGCTCGTCAGAGGATCAGGATATGGATGTGTCCTAACACAAGTCGCGTGTTGTGATCGCAGTTTCTGCGATGGGTGCTGACATGCTGTTATGAGTTATCTACTGTAACTGTTACTGTACATTATTTGTGTCGAGCGGTCGTGGCATAGCCACGTCAACACCACTACTGTCATCTTATCACACGTCGGACGTACCACAGCTTGATTATCGTCAAAGACATCCGATGATGCATCGATGATCAGCAATTACTACTTACTCCACATCGTAGATCTACTAGACCTAGTGCATGTCATCATCCAGGCTAAGCCATATGCATCAACTCCACTCACTGTTCGAACGTTCAGCATCAGAGTCATTGGGTCAAACGAGGTCCTCGGATCCGAGGTCATGAATCATGTGTGGGCTGTACTTTCTAACTTGTAACCTGAGCTACAACTGTCAGAACTACATATAGATTATACATACTAAGTAGTACTGGTCCAGTTCCTGATATCGTTCGAGGAACGAGTAATTCAAGGTGCGCATAAGTCCAATTGCCAAATAGGCTTACCAGAAAACTCGCCGGCACTTGTAAACATTACAGAGGGGCCGTTACACGACCTTAAGCTTCAGGCGAGTTCTCGCCGTGAAGCCCATCTGTTACATACATGATATGAGGAACTAGGAACCGGACTGTCACACAGAAGCTGAAGATAGTCTAGCCACTTAAATACCTACTAAACCTTCAAGGCCTTACTCCTGAACGAACCCCTCCAATCAAGGAAGCCTTCGCAATGGCACAATGAGCTCATTTCGGAGGCCGCGGTATTCAAGACTAGTATACAGGTGCTAAATACCTGACATTGGTGCTACAGCTATTTTTGAGCTGTTTTCAATGATCCTGTGACTTTCCTACATCAACGCGTGCAGGTACTTGAAGGTCGTCAACCTCAACTTGAAGTTGTTAACGAACTTCGAGCGAGGTGTCTCCGCGGATACCGTTCGCCGACTTAGTACCCTGCGTCCGTGAACGCCGGACAACACTCGATGATTTTGGCGGGACTACTCACTTACGCCAACCCCATGCGGTGCAGATAAGAGGCGTGTCACCGGAACCGAGAAGATGATAGAAGACAATTCGTGTGAGCTCCGTCGGGGTCCAGGTGATTGCATAAAATACCAGAACGCTCAAGCTGCGCAATTGTTGGGATGAAGAGATATGATATATGATAAACAAGGTGACCGACTTGGAGAGACTCCGAGAGAGCGATGATATCCGTGACATTCACGGCGAATACAATTTAGGTCGAACTTTGAGATTGAAGTGATACTCACGTACGCAGGCCCCTAAAGAAGCGAAGTCGGAGATCCCAAGTATATACACGTGGGACATGGTAAAACTCGCAAAGTAGGTGTTAGGGGTCGTTGCATCCCACGATGCGAATATGATTATGAGCTTACTGGTACTACTGGGGCAAACTAGCTGCCAATTGAGCACGACGCCGTACACAAGCTGCGCTAATCAGTGGCTATAAACACAGATCATGGATGTAGAATGACATCGCTTATGCAGTGCTGATTTTTCCCGCTGTCCCGGATCGGTGGTATCAATGCAAGCGAAAGTCGGCGCTGGCAGAACCTGAAAGGAATTATCTTGCCTGCTCCTGTAACAAGGTGCAAAACTACTCACGAATTTGACAAGGCATGATGGGTGGATCATGCCCATTTTCAATGCAGAGAGACGCAGATATCATAAGTATCAATATTCGGAGAAAGAGAGTACCACTTCCCAAATCACCCACCATTTTTCAACAAAAAACTGGGGAGAAGAAACTGAGATTATCGAATGAATATCCAGACTCACCAAGAAGGTATAGATGTGAGGAAGCTGGTCAACGTTTACTACCCATCAAACTTTGAGAGTCTTCTTGAACGTAGAAGATCGGTCCGAACAAGTCAGAACGTTCAAGATACGAAGGAACTTGAACGAATGGCTTCCTTCGATAACGTCTGCCTAGTAGTAATAGGACAGACTAGCGTCAAACAAATCTGCTCAAGTTACAAGCTTTGAAACAAATGTCAAACTTGACATTGAGATGCAGCAAGTGTCTGACGCGGAGGACCATATGATATCATTGTCTGTACAAACACTTCAGTGAAATATGAATTGTCCGAGTAAAGTACGTGGACAGACATACCAAGTGAAATGGTCAAGGGCTTGCTACCTTACCCACTGGCAGTGACCATGAAACTACGAGTTCATGTACTGGCCACTTCGGTGGACCGCGATATGCAATGTCAAAGAGTTCTCGATCGAACCGAATAAGTTAGTAGCGCGAAGCATCCGTTTTGCAGATGACACAGCCACCCTGCCTCTCTCCTCAA